ACCAGACACTTGAAAGAGTGAGCTTGCCAAGCTGTCTCCAGAGCTTGACGTTTGGATGCAATTTCAACCAGTCCCTAACTGGCGTGATCTTGCCCAGCAGTCTTCAGAGCTTGACATTCGGATACCATTGCGACCCTGCAAGGATTGAGCTTGCCAATCAGTCTTCAAAGCTTGACGTTTCCCATCGTTTCCCCATTCATTCAACCACAAGCTCTAGGGAGTGAGCTGGCCAAATGGTCTTCAGAGCTTGACATTTGGCTTCAGTTTTAACCAGACACTTGAAAGAGTGAGCTTGCCAAGCTGTCTCCAGAGCTTGACGTTTGGATGCAATTTCAACCAGTCCCTAACTGGCGTGATCTTGCCCAGCAGTCTTCAGAGCTTGACATTTGGGGATCATTTTAACCAAACCTTGGAGGAAGTGAGCTTGCCAAACAGTCTTCAGATCTTGACATTTGGCGTTGAATTTAATCAAGATTTGAAGGGAGTGAGCTTACCAAATGGTCTGCAAAGCTTGACATTTGGCTTGGAATTCAACCAAACCTTGGATGGAGTGAGCCTGCCAAGCAGCTTGCAAATCTTTTCTTGCGGTGCTGTATCAGTCAGCATCTCGTGAGCTTCAGATCGCGCGCCAAAAAAAGTCCAGACTATGCTCAATCGTCTGGGTGGGGGGTCCACAACACGTTACAAGCTAATGTGAAATTGATTTCAATGCAGAGCTTTTGCTAGTTGCGTGGGGGTGCATTCCACTTTGTAAGTTTTAAACAACCCGTGTATATATATATATAATTATATACATACATCTATGGTACTTCATTGTATAATTATATATACACATACATTATGTGTGTGTGTACATACATACATAGTACCTCATTTTGTGTGTCCCTTTGATAGATGCTAGATCTTGGTACAAGTGCGGCAGCCCCTGAAAAACCCTTGATAACTTCGATATTGGGAAGGGGACTAAACCACTGATCTTGGGGGGTACCTTTATATATATATATTATACACAATTCAGTGGGGATATTCGGTAGAAGCTGGCTTATAGTATGCTTATGGCCCACTTAGTAATTTAGATGTACAACCAAGTACATAGGGTGTTCTGTATGATAATCCACATCGACTGTATATGTTTGGAGGGTTGCGAACCAACCAACGAGTATTGTTTCGGGATGTGTTGGCTTTGCCCAAAGATACAGGACACCCAAAATATGCCGGAAGTCTTTCAACACCGACATCCGCAATTTTAGGATCATCAGTTTGAAGTTTTTCTCGCAGTATTGGTTTACCCGCTGGTTATTTAACATAGCCATGGAAAATGGCCCATAGAAATAGTGGATTTACCCATTAACAGCATGGGGGATTTTCCAGTTCGTTACGTAAACGTTTACCAGTATTGGTTTAAGTTTTAATAGGTAAACCATCTATAAATGGGCCATTTTCCATGGCTATGTTAGTCATAACCAGAGGGTAAGTGAAAAATTCACAGGAAACCCTTGGGAGTAACCCTCCTTAACGACTATCATATAGTTGGGTGATGAAATCCGATCCCTTTTTTAAACATCCCCATGATTTAAACCACTCAGTAACCACTCCTAAAACCTATGAAAACCTTAAAACAATCCCATTAAAATCCCTTAAACCACTCAATCCACTCCATTAAACCTATTAAAACCTATTGAAACCTATTAAAACCTTTAAACAATCCCATGAAATATATGAAAAAATCCCAATTATGGGTGATTGTTTAATCCCATGAAAAGCCATTCCTTTTTGTCCACAGGAGCTCCGTGAAGTTGGTTTCGGCAGCTGGGCCTATGATTTTTTTCGCCCTCCTGGAAAGATGGTGGTTTTGATGTGGGTCAAAGCATAGATTTTAGATTATCTATAGGATTTCTATATATTAATATTATGGATATTCTATGGAATCAAGAAATTTAGGTTTTACCTGGTTTATACCGTATACCACTGTTTTTGAATGATGGTTAAACAACCCCCTTGTTTTTTTGGATGGTTTTTACCTCTGATTTTGATGTGGTTTATACCGCTGATGGTTTTTTATTTTTAATCAAACACCCAAATCAGTGGTATATTATTCTTTTTTCATAATTTATCTACAAAATAATAAAGCATCCCCCAAATCACATCAAATCACCATGTTTATCGGTGGGACTGTCTCCATTCCCAGTCATAGAAGGTTTATGACACTGTTTTACCCACATGATAGATGATTACCCATGGAATACAATGATGTTTTGCCTATGAAAAATGATGATAGACTAAATTGTTCCGTGGAAAACATTATGATTTACCTGTAAAAAAGATGATCGTGATAATTTACCTATGACAAATTGAAGATCTTCTAAATTTTGCCATGGAAAGACACAATGATTTACCTATGAAAAATGATGATCTACTAAACTTTGCTTTGGAAAACATGATGATTTACGTATGAAAAAAATGATCCTCTGCCAACTTGTTCCATGGCAAACATGATGGTTTACCTATGAAAGATGAATATCTACTAAATGTTGCTATGGGAAAAATGACTTACCCATGAAACAAATGACGATCTATTAAATTTTGCAATGGAAAAACATAATGATTTACCTATGAAAAATGATGATCTACGGATTTTTGCCATGGAACAACTGATGATTTACCTAAGAAAAAATATGATAGACTAGATTTGGCAATGGAAAAATGATGATTTACAAATGAAAACGGAGGATCTACTAAATATTGCCATGGAAAAAATGGCGATTTACCTTGGCAAAATTATGATCTACAAAGTTTTGCTAAGCATAAACTTTGTTCCTCCCGAAGTGTATATATATACATATGAATATAAATATATGCATTATGACCATGGTAATCCCCCCAAGAAATAGATTGTAGCTCTTCACCACTATTGTAGGATTGGATCGTACTACTGTACCAATTTCTATCCTTTTTTGCGGAATGATTTTAATTTCTACTTTTTTTTTCCTGGGTTGTCATATTTCCATATATGATTTGTTGAAATATGTTGGAACATGTTGAAATATGTTGGAACATGTTGAAATATGTTGGAACTCCAGAATTTCACTGTTGGGATTATTGGCTCTGATAAACCATCCTTGGAGCTCACACGGTTCAGACGGGGCATACCCGATCAGAACGTGGCAAGCAAATCACGAAGCGGACGAAGTGGACGTAAGTGGTGCAAGTCCAATGAAGACAACAACCACGGGTGTACATGGGTCATGTGTCTGACCACCAATGAGTTAAACTTGGTTCGAATCCAAACATGTGGAGTTGTCATCATTATCCAAGCGATCTGACAGCAGCCGAAAGGGCGTACTTCGGTATGGGTCACTTCGCAGATACCATACCTTTTGCACGGTTAAATCCCATGAAACCACCATTTTTCATGGTTAAATCACGTTAAATCCCATTAAGCCACCATTTTTCCCAGCTTCGCCCTATTTTTTGGGCGATTAACGGCAGCAAACAGCAGTGCCGCCATGAGGTGAGCCATTGGCCCCACCGAGCGTTTCGCCCATCGGCATTGTCCTGCAATTCCCATGCGCAGAAGCTCCTGCGTCTTGGTGCAATTGAACACCATTTGGAGGATTGATGGTGGTTAGTGGTGGTTAATGGTGGTTAATGGTGGTTAATGGTGGTTAATGGTTAATATGCTATTTGGAGGATCTTTAAAGCCCTAGTCTGGAGGGATGGATGATGGATTTTGTCAAAATCCAGCAGTTGTTTTTTCATGGTTTTTTGGTGAACTAACCCTCAGGGTACATGCGGGTACCAGGGTTTTTTTGTTATGTTTTTAAATGTTGTTTAGTTTTTTTGCTTGGAACAACGTTGGAAACTGACAAGAAAAACATGGTGTGGAGAACTTTGAAAGAGGGTTGCTTTGCTGACAGATTTTTGGGGAACTCACCAAAGAGATCTGGCCATTGGTTCATCCTTGCGAAGACGTTGCATATGCGTATAATTGCACACAGCTGCTGTGCCTTTTTTTGTCCTCGCTTTGTCAGTCATGGAATTCTTGATGATTCTTGATCTTCTGATTTCTTTTTCTGGTGATCATTGCTGTTGTGGTCACACATATACTTTCCAAACTGCTCGGAATGAGGATCAGCGATCAGTTCGAGATTTATTCCGCGTCCTGGCTGGGATGTTGAGTCATGTTGAGTCCATTCCACAGGCCTCACAAAACAAAAAACATATTCATAGACCTTTCAATAACATAACTTATCATAACTTATATTAATTCAGATTCATATTATGATATGTTTTTATTTATAGCTTTAATCTTCTTCATATCCGAAACTGTCATTATTCATGAATACCTAATCAAGATTGAACTAAGCCTGCCATTCAAGTAGAATTGATCACATGTTGATGCGGGAGTTGTGGATGTCCTTCCTTTGGTTGGTTGTTTCATCAATGGATTGCACTTTCCGTGAAAAATCCACCGTCATGATCACCTCACAGGAACGACATGCGCACAGTGCCTGCGCAGTTCTTGATCCCTCGTGGGTGACCATTTTCTCCAGTGATCATCCTTATTGATCCGTATCTGATTGGTGGTTTGGAACATGAATTTTATGACTTTCCATTCAGTTGGGAATGTCATCATCCCAACTGACAAACTCATATTTTTCAAATGGGTTAAAGCACGTTATCCTTTTCCCCATGAACTATTTTGGGTGCCCCCTTTTTGGAGAAACCGTTGCGGCACGAGTTCCTCTTTTTTGTTCCTAAAACAGGCTCCATGGAGCTGGAAAAATTACATGTCATTAGAACGCAACTATGTATAGAAACCCTAGGAAGTCATAACTAACTTAATCCAAAGTTATGAGCCTATCTGGTTGGTAGTTGATGGAACATGGCTGGATTATTTTTCCATTCAGTTGGGAATGTCATCATCCCAACTGACGAAGTCCATCATTTTTCAGAGGGGTAGGCTGGCCCCCACCAACCCCCAGCACGGCGAGGCCAAAATGGCCTTGGACGGAATTCAAGCGTCTGGATATCAGCAGACCCTTCCATTGAGGCCCGGGACAGTTAGGTCACCTGGCTTTTCAGTGACCCATGTACTGTATCCGATGTGGCGGGGGCACCATCTGGGACGGCAAACAGAAGTCACGAAAAAATAATCATGTTTATCCTGTGGATAGCCTTTTATGCACTAGCTCCAAGTTAAATAATTCAAAACTTACTGGTGCTAAACGCAGGGAATGAGGGAATGATCCACTGGCTAACTATCAATATCTATCAATAATCATCCCATTCCCCCCATTCCCATCCATTCCCTACGTTTAGCACCAGTAAGAAAACATCCAGATACTTTTCACTCACAGACTCACAGCTTTCTGCAACTATTCAGCTTCTCCTCGACTTGCCAAACAAAAAATCTGGGTCCAGCGCCCGGAGGAACCTCACCTTGCAGCCGGCCATTCCCACGGCCGAGCTGGAGAGCACCTGGAAAAGCATCGGATATCTGCATCGCCCAGGCGGGGATTTGACCGGGGACCCCTCTGCTTATTTAAATTTATCTAACGCAACGAACATCACCATGTTTCATGGGGTGAATGGCTATTCAACATAAAACAATTTTCTTTTTTATGGGTAAATCAACGAACTTTCGACTGGGCCATGGCTCCCAGTTCGCAAACTGTTTGCGGGACATGGATTTCGAAAATCAGGATTGCTCCAGTCATTCAGGGTGAACGAAACGTAGGGAGTTGGATTTCACCCTGCTGGGGTGCCCATTGGAGATAGAGATCGTCACATGATCATCTTCATCCACACGAACTGTGTTATAATAGTGTAGAAAAAACATTTGGTTCATAGAACACAGATGAACATCGTATTTTAATCTGGTCGGTGGTTTGGAACATGGCTGGATTATTTTCCATTTCATATATATATATGGGATGTCATCCATGGGTAATAACATTAATCCATGTTTAGGTATTAAACATTAATCTGGTTCCATTTCATATATGGATAATCAATGATAATAATCCGCCAACCATTGACGAATATTTTTCATGATGGTTAAAACCACCAACCAGGTTGGTTTAACCATGTTTAACCATGAAATATGGTGGATTTTCTATAGATTCTTTTCGATAAGTCTAATTTTTTTCAACATTGACGAACTCCATCATTTTTCAACATGGTCATTGCACCACCAACCAGTCGATACATCGCCTGCTTGACCAGGCCTGCTGCTGCTGCTGGATCAGGATGGCCGTTCCATCGTGGAGTTCCTCGGTGGTTGGAACCACAACGGTTAGGGGAGCACGGACAAAAAAAAACATCCCCAAAAAACGGGGCTGTGGATAGTAGAATCTATTGATATCTATTGTATCCTATTGTCATATATGTTTCCGGATTTCAATTTAAGTATACAGCTGACGATTTTTCGAAGGCTAGTCAGACCTGCGATTGGCCCTGTTAGGGGCTGCCTACTAAGAAGATGGCAAAGTCAGTCATTGTCAAAGATAAAGATAGTAGTTAGTAGCATAAATACTGCTCTTTTGTTGGGACCTCGAGAGTAATTCTTAAAGCAGTAGGTAATGTGAGTGGTTGGCTGTTCCACTCGTTTTTTTTTTCAGGACGGCGGGATTTGAGTATGTCACCACTCAGTGGATTGACGCAACAAAGCATTGACCATTAACGAAATAGGCGACGCTGTCACTAAACTGATACAGCCCACGTATGGGCATTTCAACTGGGGACAACAAGAATATCACATGGAGATAAATGTGACAGACGAGCGAAAGGTACTGTAACAACAAGCCAACGAAGCGTGTATCCCATTTACTACTTCAACAGATTTGGAACCATGCAACGTTTCATCATGTTTCATCCACCAGTCAGGACATTTGGCAAGTTCTTCACCCCAATTGCATTGGTTTAACGTGCCTGGCGCATCCAGGCATTCCTTGCGCGGGGGTGGCTATACGGCCAAATATTGGAGCTTGAGTGACAGTCTTCCACAGAAGTTGGAGGTGGGCTGGAGTTTGACGAGTTTTTAAAGATGGGAAACATGCCAACAGGCCAACAGTTATAGGTTTTTGATGGTTGGTCATTCATCTCAGTACCCTGGTTCCTACGACAATTTTGCTGATTGTCTCGGAGATCCATTCACTTCATATACGGTGCTTATGTCCAAGTCAGGAGGCGTCATGGTCAGTGGACAGCTGTCAAGTTGGAGAATTTGGATACCACTGCATAAGCCATGGCCGAATATTGCATACCTGTTTGAACCCTTGATCTAGGAATTTTAAGTAAGTTTTACTATTGAATTTGGGGCTTGGGGTTAGTATTGGGTCAGGGATCTGTAGGGATTTAGGTTATTCCCAAGTTGCATTTCTTCAACTTCTGCCCATGACAAATATGACAAACCCATTGTTGCAAGAGAGGTTCCTCAGTTTAGTAGACAGTGGTGGTCACCCATTAAAGCCTTCAACACCGATGACGGAAGGTAATAGCAATATGGACGACACCAGGACCTCACCATAGATGGCTTTTGGGGAACCACACCAGGACCTCACCTCACTTCAGGTTTGGGAATATTCATCTTACTGGTGCTTAATTCGCAGGGAATTTTCGGGAATGATCCCAGTCATCACTAGTAATAATCATCCCAGCAACCCCCAGTCCCATCCATTCCCTACGTTTAGCACGCTGCGAAATCCCAAATCCATGGAAATAACCGAGCTTTGTTGACGCGTCAAGGCTTTGCCTTGACCCAGAAAATGAAGAAGTGTCCCTTTTTCCACATGAAACTCTGAGATTAATATGGGTTTTATATGGTTTTAGGCTCAAGGCTGGGGGTTCCCCGGAGCTTCGAGGAACCCTCAGTCTTGATGCTATACTAGAAAGGACGTTCGTGTATACAGATGGGGGTGGGGGGGTGGGGGGGGTGTAATAACGTCATGTGAAGTGCGTTGGATGATGTTGAATCCTGGAAGATGTTGCTTGGTTGGAAGATGTTGCTACGTTGCAAGTTCGTTGTGGTATACAGAAGGGTGGGGTGGGGGGGGTGGGGGGGGTAATAACGTCATGTGAAGTGCGTTGGATGATGTTGAATCCTGGAAGATGTTGCTTGGTTGGAAGATGTTGCTACGTTGCAAGTTTCGTTGGTGTATATTCCTGTGTCAGCACGGAGAAACGTCAATTTCTTCCGCCATGAAAATGGAACTTCGATTGATCAAATCAATTCAGAGAAAAACATAATACACTGTAAAACACAGTATAAAAACAGAATTTTCCATCCCCATGCCAAAAAAAAGCTTTCAGAAAGCGAAGATGAAAAAGATGCGATGTTCATTTCGTCCATGGTTCTCCAGTAGATTATGACATTTTCTACTTATCAACAAAAACTGAAAAAATGTATGAAACCGCAATTCCAATGGGAAAAATGTTGAACGCATTTTTGGCCATCCATGGAAGATGTAAATTTATCATTTTTCTGCGCGGACAAACTCAGAGTTTATCCGCGCCGACATTGATACTTTCACTCCTGGAACACTTTGAAGAGAAGACAAAAAACCCTGTAAAACACAGTATAAAATCAACATTTTCCATCTCCATGCAATGAAATTGCAATTGGCTTCCGGGGAACCCCCAGCTTTCACCCTGGTTTTATATGAGAGTTTGATGGAGTTTTACTAGTGTATATATATATATATACATATATACATATATGGGTTTTCATTGGAGCTTTGATGGCGGCCGTCAAATGTGGAGAAACTCCACATCTCCGTGATCAAAATAGGGGATTCAACATGGATTCACCATGGATCAGCAAGTTTCATGGGGATTACGATGGTACATGATGGTATGTGGTTATTTTATGTTAATTTATGTTATTTTCAGATGCCCCTTCACCGGATTGGGGGATTGGCCGCTGAAAATTCTGAAGTCGGAATATTTTTTAGCTGTTCTCATACTGCGAAAACTGTCCATCACTTTCCGAAATTGGCTAGTTTGAGCTGTACATAGCGGCTAGTCTTGATTTATATTTTTCATTTTATGTACCCTCTGGTTATTTAACATAGCCATGGAAGCCATGGCCCATTTACAGATGGTTTACCTATTAAAAATGGTGGATCTTTCCATGGCAAACTGCTAAATAGCCAGATGGTAGTAGAATTTAGGGTAGAAAAACACTCCCGCCATCCAAAACCTCAAGAAATTCCAACAGCGAATCTGTCGGATTTCAATCTCTGCCAGGTCATTGAACCCATTGAGGGCCCGGGAAGTCAGATGTGCAGCACCAAGGGATCAGGCGCCCAAGATGTTACGTGTTGTTGATGGTTTTATCCATGTTTTATCCATGTAAGTTTATGACCACCAAATATTGAGGTGTTTGAAAAGGCCATGTTTAGCCATGTTTATCTCCAAAAATCTTGGGGTGTTTGATGTTACCATTGGGCTCATCGAGACCGCAGCACAGCCCAAAAGATGTTGCGCAATATGAGAACGTGTGCATCCACTACTTGTGAACCCGTCTCCCATCATTGATTCCCACAAAATTCCTTTTTTTTCAATGTGGGAATTCCCATGTCATTCGAATTCCCAGTTCCAAATTGGAAATCATATGGAATCATGTGCTTTCCATAGCCCTTGCTTCCCATCATGTCCCATCCAAGTTTCCATGGATCACTTCCATTCTGGTTGTGATAGCCCGATAGCTTCCCCAGCCGCGCTGTCGCGCCGTGCGCCAGGCTTGGTGAACATGGGCTGGGCCATCTATGCTTCCACCGACTCGGGACAGGCGCGAAAAAAGCACCGTTTCAGCAGATGAGCCATTCAAAATGATGGATATGAGTCTGAAAATGCTGAAAATCTATGGATCATTATGACAGATATATGGATATACATTAAATCATATATCTAATGAATGAATATTAATGATATATGTGGATATATATGATGGATAAAAAAGATATCTAAGCATATATGGGTCTGTCTGAAAATGGTGTATACCGTATACCCCCAGTTATGGCCAGTTGAATAGGGAAAATGTGAAAATGATCCATTGGAATTGATGGCACCCAATTTTCAGACAAACCCATATAATCGTGGGAAATCATAGCACGCCCCAAAATTCAAAAAGATGGAAACCTGTTTCCAGTATGGTATAGATGATACTTTCTCCTTAATTTTCAAATTTCCATCGTTGCTATCTTTTTTTGGGGTTGTTATGTATGATAATCACCTATAATCATCTATAGAATGAACACTATTATACAATAATGGATAATACCCTGGTTGATCGGGTATGTTTTGTTGGGATTGCTAATCTGGTTGGTGCTTTGGAACATGTTTTTTCTCCATATATTGGGTATGTCATCATCCCAACTGACGAACTCATATTTTTCAGAGGGGTTCAAACCACCAACCAGATATATATCCATTAACCACCATTAACCACCATTAACCACCATTAACCACCATTAACCACCATTAACCACCATTAACCACCATTAACCACCATTAACCACCATTAACCACCAACCAGTAATTATTGGGAATTATCGGTAAGCCACAGGAATGGGAAACCGCCCGTTTTCAACTTCACTACTCGTCAGCTCGTCTGTCATGAGATGGGAAAGCGGGGTATATCTGTACTCGCTCAGATGCAGACGGATATGGGATGTGATTTTTTTTGTTTAAAGCCAACTTGGCATGATATATATTAAGTAACCAGCAGATAGAATATTCTAAATGTCATTGATTTTATTCTATGTGCTAGTTACTGAATATAACATGTATAAAAATCATTAAAAATGGTCCCGTCACATGTCCAAATCCTACCCTCCGGTAATCAACCTTTGGCTTGAAAATTCCCGAGCTTTGCTTGGAGGTTTATAGCTGAGAAATTCATCGAACTAAACGGGTGATTTCAATTGCCATGTTTGATTACTGGAGGGTATCTCTATATATAGAAGGATATATAATATATATATATATTAATATATAATAATATATATATATATATTAATATATAATTATATGTATATATATATATATATTAATATATAATTATATATATATAAAGTTTTGTTTTGGTGAAATGGTGCCTTAGGTCAAATCAAGTAGATTTGTAGTGGTTGCTGAGAAGACAAGATGCGGGATTTCAGGTTTTGAAGCAACAAGCCGATGATTGATCCATGGTGCTGGTTACCCGGCCTGGTAATGACTAACGTTGTTTGCGACATTGAAAATGGTGATAGAAATCGTGGATTTACCCAGCTATAAAATGGTGATTTTCCATAGTTATGACTAACAGTTTGCTACTGAAAATGGTGATTTAGTTCGTGGATTTACCCAGCTATAAAATGGTGGATCTTTCCACTTCGTTATGTTAGTTCGTTTACCAGGCCGGGTAGCTACACAAAAAAAACACAGTTAAGTTCTGGCAAATTTACTATGGATGGGCCAAGTGCCTCTACGATTTCATGGCAGGCCTCCAACGTCTATGTTAAAACGCCATGCACACGTTGGGATTTCACACAGGTCCTGGGATGATCTGCAACCCGAATTCCAACCATCCGTGGGATGTCATCCCAATAGTTGATAAACGAGGTGTATATTTAAAAGATAAACTTGAATGGGTATATCCCATATTGATGATAAACCCATACACCATCTCAAATTCGATTTTTTATACACATATATATATAAAATTATATAAACATATACGTATACATATACATGTTACAATGTTTGTAAACTAACCATCCCAGGTATGTTCACCATCCCAGGGCCATCATTTCTGCGCTCGCACGAAAGGTGGTGATTTTGTGCCCCTCGGCCGCAGCGCGAGTGCTGCAACCGCTGCACATGATCGTGTCGCTGCGGCGGAAGCAAGCTGCCATGTCGGGGCTCTCAGGGACCTTGGGGACCCTGGGGACCCTGGGGACTGCCTGAAACCAGGGACCCCGGACCCTGATTTTTTTTTCTCGCCAATTCCTATGGTTTTTTGGGGTGATGATTAGTGACAAAAAAGTCAGTGACTATAGTCTGCAGTCTGGTTATAAACCAACCTTTATCACTGGCCCTTCCAAGTTGAACAGGCCATGTGGTAAATGACAATGACATTCACGCACACAGCTGCCCTCAAGAGTTCCCATTGATGCGATTAAACGGCTTGTCTCAACAATCGTTTTGAACATCGTCTTCCCCCTTAAATGGGATAAATTTTGGTTATGGAAATCTCCATTCCCGAAAAATCCGGACGCTAAGCCATGCGGCTCAAAAATTCTTTCTCAGCACCACGTGGCTCCGTCAATCCCTTCACCTAAAATACCTAACACTCCCCCCAATATTAAACACCTTACCCGGCCTGGTAAACATTTACATAATGAACTGGAAAGATCCACCATTTTATAGCTGGGTAAATCCACTATTTCGACTGGGCCATTTTCAATAGCAAACTGTAAACGTTTACGGGTATTAGAACCATGGTTTAATAGGGAATTTCCACATTCCATTGGGATGCGGGGTGTAAACCATGGATCCTGAGGTCGATCATGAAGTTGGTAGACTCACACACCGGTGCGGTGAAATTGTGCCTTGGCGTTCTACGTTGGCCCCGGGGGCCCAACATGTCCTGCGTGGGAAAAAAAGGCTGGTGGACCTGCTAAGTAGTTGGTGGTCTCGTCTGCACCTATTGTGACTGAATATCTCGATTTTTTTCCGACAGCTTCGACCCAACAAAAGTGCCAGAACTTGGCATCTGCCAATTAGCTTCTTTCAGTGAATGTCAAGAGGAAACCATCCGTTTGAATCCATATTCTTAACTGGTTGGTGGTTTCAACCATTTTTTATTTTCCATATATATTGGGAATAATCATCCCAATTGACGAACTCATATTTTTCAGAGGGGTAGGTATACCACCAACCAGTTAATGTCTTAAGGACTTACTCCAAAGGAAACCGTCGGTTTAATCCCTATTCGGATCCAATCCAAATACTTCGAAGGTAATACCCTCCAATCATAGCCCAAATAGTCACTGAGAGGGTGCTGGATCCCTCTGCAATGATTTGCTGTATACATATCACAGTGTCATATCACAGATTCCAATCTGTAATCGGTATTTTGATGGCTCAAATCAGAATACTATAAACATTTACAATGTACATTTATATCATTTATGGCGGGTTTGATAACCATTTAATTCAACCAACCATTTAAAGATAATTAGACCATCAACCTTCATCCAATCATCAGCTGAGGCAACGAGAGAAGATCATCGGAGTTCAGAGAGACATCTACAACGGCGCCAGAGCCGCGGATGGGTCATATGGGTCAATGGCAAGGACAACTTCACATGGGAGTTTCAAAATTCCACTGTCAAACTTCGGAAAACATTGGAATTTAAACAGTGTTTTATTGATGAAAAAATGTTATTTAAATCTGTTTTAAACAGTTGAAATGATGAGTTTATTTCACTTTCAAATGTTTCGACATATCGCTAAACATTGTCTCAAACCCCTCTTTTTATGGGATACGTAAATGCACATGTAATTGTTTGCGTATATATATATATGGGTATGGATCAATACCTATTAATACCATTTTTAGGGGGATGAACATCCATTTACCAGCTATTTTGATGTTCACCAGGGGTACAAGGTTTTGACCCACTGCCATATATATATATATATATACCCTCTGGTACTTTAACAGTTTGCTATTGAAACTGGCCCATTTATAGTTGATTTACCTATTAACACTGGTGATTTTTCAGTTCGCTATGTTAATTTAGGAGAGGGTATATATATATATACATACAGTACATTTTGTAAATGGATGTTAGAAGGTGGATTTCCAGCAGGCGGTGTTTTCAAATATCGAAGGGCAGGTGAGTGGCGATCTCAACTTCTACATTTATCCATCCAATAGTAAAAATGACCATAATTCACATCCCAACTAATGTTGATGGATTACCCATAGAAAATCCCCATTCATATCATTATCATGGGATTATATTGATTATCAGATTATCACATGATCCCGTTTAACTTTGTTTAACAACACCAATATATTGATGATTACTGTGGTTCCATTTTCCATAGGACATACCCTTTTCCTTAACATCCCTAATGTTGATGGAGTTATCCCATTATCGTCCAATGATTATATATATATATCCATATATGATCCCGACGCTGATCAAAATCCCCACAGGAATTTCACCATAATTCACATAGAAATCCCATAGAAATCACCATAGGAAATCATCAAGTTTGATTCACATCCCATAGACAACTCGGGTGGTTCCATACCAATAGAAATCACCATTAATATCATTATCATGGGGATTATATGCAAATGATCACATGATCATCCCCTTTAACAATGTTTCACATGCCCAATATATTGATGGTTATCCCCATATAGATGGTTATCCCATTATTATAGAAATCCCCCAGTCAGAAATTATCCCATGCTTATCCCATCAAAAATATCCCATAGATGGTGATCCCAATATATCCATTACCCCATAGGAAATTCTCCATAATTCACATAGAAATCCCATAAAAATCACCATCGGAAATCACCACAATTCACATCCCATAGAAATACCTGTGTCCCGTCAAAAACATCACCATATAGATGGTTCTCCCAATAAGGTAGTCTTTCTGAAGATTCACCAATGTGAATAAGTATCCATAGATGGTTCTCCCAATATATCCAGTACCTCAATGGTTCTCCATAGATGGTTATCCCATTATAATCTCCATAGGAAACCATTATACATCCCATAGATAACCATCATAGAATGATGATAATCCCCATATAGATAGTTAATCCCAGTATAATAATCATCTATATGGGGATATACCATAGTATACCATATATTATTATTATTATTATGGGGATAACCATCTATATATTATTATACCATATAGATGAATATCCCAACAGTCAGAAATTATCCCATGCTTATCCCATCAAAAATATCCCATAGATGGTGATCCCAATATTTCCATTACCCCATAGAAATATTGATGGTTATCCCCATATAGATGGTTATCCCATTATAATAATATCCAATAATTTCTGACTGGGGGACTTCTATAATCATGGGATATTATAATCATCATAATAATGGGATAACCATGGGATCTCCATTACCCTCTGGTAAACTAACATAACCATAGAAAATCACCATTTCTATGAGTGATGGGAATGAATTCCCAAGATACGTATGCGAGCCTGGCGTTTTCCCTGACTGGAATCTATTCAGAAGCATTCCCTGATGACTTATTGGATGGTTACCCTCTGGTAAACGTTTACATAACTATATGGAAAAATACACCACTTTTTTTATGGGAAAATCCACTATTTCAATGGTCATTTTCAATAGCTATTTTGACATAACCAGACGGTATGGTATGATAATGTGGATGGAATGGAAGAAATCCCCCAGTCAGAAATTATCCCATGGTTATCCCATCAAAAATATCCCATAGAAATATATCCCATATATACATTCCCATATAGATGGTTATCCCATTATTATAATCATCTATATGGGGATATACCATATTATACTATATTATTATTATGGGGATAACCATCTATATATCATTATACCATATAGATGGTTATCCCAACAGTCAGAAATTATCCCATGCTTATCCAATCAAAAATATCCCATAGCTGGTTCTCCCAATATATCCAGTACCTCAATGGTTACCCATAGATGGTTATCCCATTATTATACCCTCTGGTAATTTAACATAGCTATTGAAAATGACCATTTATAGTGGATTTTCCCATTGAAAATCATGTTTTTCCATAGTTATGTTAGTTTACCAGAGGGTAATCTCCATTACCCCATAGAAATCCCAAGGGAATCTCCGTAGCTTTCCAGGTGTGCTGTGGCTCATGGTCTCCACCACGGAGGGCTCCACCGAGATCCGGGCCTGGGACGTCTCGGTGGGACAGGCCGAAACACGGCCGTGGCACGGACCACTCGTCCACTCGGGGGTGGCAAAAAATCGTGAAACCATGGTGGAAAATGCTGGAAAATGGTGGAAAAATGGTGGAAAATGCTGGAAAATGGTGGAAAATGGTGGAAAATTGGTGGAAAATGGTGGAACATGGTGGAAAATGCTAGAGAATGACGTACTGTATATGTGTTTTTAAGTGTAGTTGTTTGAAAATATATCTGGGATGAACTATTCTGCTAGATGTTTGTGTCTTTTTCGCCAATTCGTGTGGTTGTAGAACAACATGGCAATGTTTGGTTCGATGTGGGTTTAATATGTGGAATGATATTCAATTGTTCTATAGCATTAACACCCCACAGATTTACCTGATTTTCTTGACCTGGTTTGGGTTGGGACAGAGCAAAGAACATTGTTTTTCCTTGGTATTTGGTATGTTCAAAGCTTGGTGAGTTGAGAAAAAAGGAGGTTTCCTAAGTCATGGGGGCCGCTACAAATCATCCATTTGATTTTAGGATTTTTCATGAACAAAAACATCCATTTTAAAGTATCCCCATTGATGGAAACTCCAGTTTGATGGCTGAACTTCATCCACACATCAGGATGATTACAATCAGCTAAGAATCAGCTAAGAATCGGAGAGGGGGGACGTATTAATGTATGAATATAGTATATACAAAAACAATAAAATGACACCAGGGACTGAACGGACACTAATTAGGATGTTCACAATCTACCGTTTCATTCATGCCAAGACCTTTTTATTTTTTCTCAAAGGTTTTGCCACTTTCACATCTTGAGCCATCTTCAAAAATCACAGCATCTGTAAATTGTAGGTTTACTTGTGCAAAGATGCCATAGATTCGGGTCCCGCCCGGTCGATTTTTCGATGAACGCCTCCATCTAGAGGGATTATTTTTCCATTAGTTTATAGGGTATCCTCCCATTAAAACCTCCATATGGAGGTTTCCTGAAATAGGGCTTCCAAATCATCCATTGATAGATTCATCTTCCATTATAAACCCTCTAAATTTTAGGCTATTTTCCCATTAAAATCTCTAATATGTAGATGATGTCTCGTTCAAAAACAGCATCGCACCTTGCGCTTGCCGCGAGGTGGGACGTTGGTCCTTACCGACCGGGCGACGATGGGCTCAGGGGCTGTGTCACTGGGTGGGAAATCCGACGGGGAATCTCCAGTATCTATTGTTCATGGATGATGACTACCATTAATTATATAATTATATGATATAAATATATATGGTATATATATATATGATATATTATGGTATATTATGATATATTATGATATATTATGATATATTATGATATATTATGATATATTGTGATATATGATATGCATATATATATATACATGTTATATACTATGATATATTATGATATGTATTTATGATATATATATATATGATATATGATATCATTATCATTATATATGATGTAATATAATATATGATATATATATGATATAATATGATTATGATATGTATATATATATATACATATTGATATATTATGATATCTTTATGATATATTGCGATATATGATATGTATATATATATATATGATATATTATGATTTATTATGATATATTATGATATATTATGATATATTATGATATATTATGATATATTATGATATATTATGATATATTGTGATATATGATATGCATATATATATATACATGTTATATACTATGATATATTATGATATGTATTTATGATATATATATGATATATGATATCATTATCATTATCATTATATATTATTATCTTACTTAACAATCGAATGGCAGAATGGAGACAGTAATGGATAATACACGATCATTATGATATAAGTGGTAAACCCCATACCTTTTACCACATTTGCCCCATTGTTTGATGGAAACTATGTAGGGTAACTCTTACTCATACTCGTACTGCTTGAATTTCCACTACACCATTTTGTTAATTCATTTGATAATTGGGCAAAGTCCAGCCGGCAAGGTAGTGCTTGGGTTTACGCATCCATTTGTTTGTACCTGTGGATATCCTGAGATAGGGTCACCTTGCTTGAAACAACCCACGAGCCATTGACCCACCGAAAAGCGCCTACAGATGGGAAAACCAACGCATGCATCCCAAATTTTGTCACTGGTTGGTGGTTTGGAACATTGCTTTTTTTTTCTCCTCCATATATTGGGAAGAATCATCCCAACTGACGAACTCATATTTTTCAGAGGGGTAGGTATACCACCAACCAGGTCATCCATATCCTCAGATGGGATGGTTACACTCACCGTGACAACTCGGTCGCTCCCGTCTCGGTCCACCCATGTTGGTCCAAAAGGACCCATGGTTTTGAGCAAGTCACTGTTGGTTACCCGGCCTGGTAAACAAACAGTTTGCGAACTGGAAAATGGCCATTGAAATAGTGGATTTTCCAATTTAAAATTGTGATTTTCCATAGTTATGTTAGTTTACCAGAGGGTACTTCCTCGTTTTGAACAGAAGTCAGTCCCAACTTCTGCTGGATCAATTCAGTGAAAGTCCCCATTCAACATATCCTGAAAGTTATTCCTGTTGGGAATACCACACGTCTCAGTTGTGGCTAGGCTAGTTATATATTTTAACCATCTTAGCCATCCCTAGGGGGCACACATTGTCATTGTGCTCCTGCATCCAAAACCAGCATTGTTTCTCATCCTAGAAATCCCTAACATGTTCCCACATGTTACATTGTCCTTCCACATTCTCTCCAATTTTCTCATATCTTTTCCCACCATCTTCCATATGATTTTTCATCCATTTCCCCATGTTTTTCCCATGTTTGTCCATGTTCTTCCCATGTTTTCCCCACCCCGGTGGCTCACCAGTGCCCCACACCGAGGCCTTCTGGGCCCCAACCAGGGCCTTCTGATGGCCGCGGCGGACGACAGCAGCGAGGCCGCCGCGGGCGCCGAGCTTTGGCGCCTGGTGCCGCGCCTGGAGAGACGGCGACGGGCCAAGAAGGCGCCCGTAGCATGTGGCGTGGCGCCCCCGTTTTTGGCGAGAAAATGGGCCCCAAATCGATGGCAATGGTTTGGTTTAAGGGAAAATCTACACCGGAAATCCATGTTTTTTTTACCATGAAATATGGAGGTTTCCGGTAAATATTCCCTTAAACCAATCCATTGACCGATGGCATTTTTTTTTCGGTGATTTTTTGAGTTGTTTTTCGTTTGTGAGATATAAATGGATGTTTATGCTAGCAGGGGGGGAACCGGACAAGATGTTTCATCGTTTTTGCTGGGGTGGGTTGGGGTGGGGGGGTTTCGATGGGATGGGCGCTGTTAACGTTCATGTTCAAATGCACACTATCTTCATGCTACGTTAACGAGATCTTCTCTTGCACTTGCTAACTATCTTCATGCTACGTTGGCAACACTTGCATACAACAGGGTGGGGTGGGGTGGGCGGTGGGCTATTAACGTTCATGTTCAAATGCACACTGTCTTCAAGCTACGTTAACAAGATCTTTTTTGGACTTGCTAGCTATCTTCATGCTACGTTAACAAGATCTTCTCTTGCACTTGCTAACTATCTTCATGCCACGTTACCAAGATCTTCTCTTGCACTTGCTAACTATCTTCATGCTACGTTAACAAGATCTTTTTTGGAATTGCTAGCTATCATCGTGCTACGTTAACAAGATCTTCTCTTCCACTTGCTAACTATCTTCATGCTATGTTAACAAGATCTTCGCTTGCACCTGCTAACTATCTTCATGCTACGTTAACAAAATCTTTTCTTGCACGTGCTAACTGTCTCCATGCCACGTTAACAAGATCTTCTCTTGCACTTGCCTCATGCTACGTTAACAAGATCTTCTGTTCCACTTGCTAATTATCTTCATGCTACAGTAACAATTCCTTTGCACTTGCTGACTATCTTCTTGCTACGTTAACAAGATCTCCGCTTGCCCTTGCTAACATGGAGAAGATCAAAAAGGGATCTCACACTTGGTGACTGATGGTGAAAAGGCATACCACTCCTTGTCAAAGACATACCAGTTGAAACATGAGGAAGTGAATCACGCTGCTGGAGAATTTGTTCGCTTGAAGCGACGAGGACCAAAGCCAGCTTTGAGTGTGCACACAGGTGGTATCGATTGCACCTGGAAGAAAATCAAAGATAAGCTTCCACCGGGCATTAATACCAGAAAGAAAGGCAAGATCAACAAAGCTCAACAAAGCACAGCACGGACTGCGTGCTGCGAGCGACTGCCAAGCAACTGAAAAAGCAAGCGAAGATGTGAGGGTAAAAAGTGAAGTTGACGGACAAAGGGTTCCAAAACTGTTGTAAAACGTGATTTTTTCAAAAAAAATGTTTCTGATTTTGGATATTTTTTTGAGCCCCCCAAAAAAAAATCGCTGACAGGCGCGAAGGATTGCGACTTTCAATGTTGAAAGCTACGTCCCGTTAACTCCCCGCACGGGTGTTTATGGTACAATGGGACGTAATAGAGAAACGCTGGAAAAACGATGGTTATGTATGGGGGTATAATAATTATAGCAACAATTTTAATTTATATATATATATATATACGTACATATATATATATACTTATATATATACATATATATATATTTATTTAGCTGGGGTTACAAGGCTAAAACTACGTATAATTTCTTGTAATAGCCTTGATGATGGCAAGTCCTGCGCCCCCCATTGGTCGGTTTTGAAATGGTGCAGTGACCCCCATAAAGTTGGGATATGATTGAGCCATATTAAGCCCTAACATCAGAATACTATTTAATTAAGTTGGGAAAAGAGTATGGTCATAGATCATCGGGTAATGACATATAATGGTGAATATGCATGGGATAGTGGGGATATGGAGGAATGACTCATTCACTACGTGAAGGAATATGGTTCGGTTCCCACTTGCTATGGCAACCGAGGATGTGAACGAAGAATTTGTTGGACATGCATGAACTATTCCTTGAAAAACATGGAACACTAAACATGGGAGATAAACGCCAAATATGGATGTTTTTTTTTTGAAAGTAGGGGATACAGTGGCTATTTGCATATTTTAATACCACAAACAATAAGGGGTGGTGGGGCTGAAGATACCAAAGCATGCCAGTGAAAAACTGACAGATATTCTAAGTTGATATGTCACTTGGATAGATGGATAGATAGAGTAGATACGGTAGATAGGTAGATAGATAGATAGATAGCAGATAGACAGACATATGGCTAGATGTATTTCATAATGTGAAATAGACCCTTAATTTGGGCAAATGTAATATGGAAAAAACGGTGTCAGTCACCAAACAAACCCAGATTAGCGAGAAATGATGCTTGAGATATAAATACATAATTTTACAATACTTTATCGTACATGTATACATAGAAATATGTAATGTAGAGTAGAGTACCATCATCTATATCACAACATTTTAAAGATAAACATATTCTATTATATGTATGTGCGCACAAATTCGCCTATAAATAGGGAATACCACAAGATTGGCTTATGATTCTCCCCGGGCACAGGTCACAAGCACCTCGATCTGATGGCGGGGTCAAAAAAAATCGCCGCGACAGCAGTGAATCTTTAACGAAGCCGTGGAAACGGCCATTTTTCCGGACGACGCCTTGGGAAAACAAGGGAGAAAACATGGTGGTTTAAGCGGTCCAAGCAAACGTTAGAAGTACGGAAAAAAAAACATCCAACAAGGGCGGTCTTTCACTTTTCGTGGTTGCAAAAGACATGGCTTGGTATTCTTGATTTCTATGGTGCACGAGATTATTCGAAATTTATATCTACTGTTGGAGAATACTATCCCTGTAGTGTCCCAAACTGGATCCCACATTGTCCGCACCAGACTTTCGAACATGGAGGTATCCATCATATGCTGTAGATATAGACTGTATGCAAAATCGTTTTCCAGATGTTGCACGTCCCTGTCCTATCGATTCCTTTGGCCTAGTTGATTGCTGTCAATATAATGCTAGCGACAACCCAGTCGTAGGTTCACGGGTGCCCACGGCACAACTCTGGTTTTCGGCGTCATCCACCCCAACACCTGCATCCTCGCCGTAAAAATCACGTTGCGGGATGTGAGTTCGTGACGATCTGTGTGACCAGATGCATCTGTCATGGGTCATTTAAGGCTCAGCGATTGACAACCAAGAGACATGGTGCAGTGGCGTAGCTGTATGTATGAAAATGATTATCTGGTAATTAAACCCAACAATAAACGTCCAACTGAGTACGGTCTAGACCACCCAATTTTATCCAATTCTTGCAAAATGGCAGATGCTTTATTAATCTTTTGTTTACCGTATAGATAGCTGTACTAGTGGAGTGCGCAGGTTCTCCAAATTATGTCTCTCTGTCGAAGAGCTATTGGTTGATGAGTACGGCCTGTTTTGATCTGCGGTACCTGGAGTATTGGTTGTCCATTCTTCCCCACGACTGGATACCGTCAGGGAATCTAAAATAGCTATGAAAAACACAATTTCTTCATAGGTATATCAACTATAAATGGGCCATTTTCCTTCGTTTTCCATAGCTATGGTAATCTCTTGAGATGATTTCACAGTTCTTCTGTTTTTTCAGTGGTGTTTTCAAGTGTTTTCACTGCCTTTCTTCTGGTTGTCAATGCTGTTGAGAGCCAAAACCCAAACCCAGGCCATGGGGAAACCCTCGGAAAATGATCGACGTTTAGTGGTGGGGAAAACCACATCTATGTTAGTTTGCGGACATGTATATAGTAATATAATAGTAATATAATATAATACATAATATATAATATTATATATATAGTTATACACAATTATATACTGTTTTACCTGTAGAGACATCAATGGGTGATGTTGGTGTTTGATAATTGATGTACAGTTCTATACATCTATAGTAAACACATGTAAACACTACATGGCTGATCTGGTGATTGATCAGCCCCTTGGCGCACTTCGTTCTAGAAGTGCCATTTCAAGAGCACCAGATTTGACTTTTCTTGACGCCATTTAGTAACTCAAAGTTGGCGCGGTCGGGAATCTGGCCAGCCTGGTGAAAATTGACACTGCACTTCAAAGTTGCTCTAGTTGTTGGTTTCAAAATTTGTGATTCGATATACCCTATGACAATTTAACATAGCTATTGAAAACACCACATTTATAGTGGATTTACCTATAGTGAATGGTGATTTTCCACAGTTATGTTAGTTTACCAGAGGGTAATATGTACAGAACCGGAGACTTTAGAATTAGAGACTGGTCCCAGTCATTACCAGGACCTTAGAGCTACTGGTAATGGCTAATAATAATAATGATTACTAAGCTATTACCACTAATAATAAACTATATAATGGGTAATGGCTAATTTTACCATTAATGAACTACTGAATCACCAAACTAAAACTTAGAGCTATGATATGGGTCTTTAGGCACTTTAGGCTTTCATTCTCCTAACTACCAGGAACTACTTTTTTAGATCTTAGTAAATTCTCTTTAGAGGAAAGCATTGTCTTCCCCCCATGGGGTCAATTTGTGAATTCCAAGTGACCAGGAAGCGGGACTATTTGGAGAAGGGCGTGTGAAGCTCAAGATGTCTACTCGACCGTTATTTTTTGGCAATCCGATTGAGGTGACTATCCCAAAATATCCCAACAGACGACTTCACATATCCGATCTATAGTGATGTTATACTGTATATACCCTCTGGTAATTTAACATAGCTATTGAAAATGACCATTCATAGTGGATTTTCCCATTAAAAATGGTGATTTTCAATAGCTATATGTTAAATTACCAGAGGGTATCCCAAGTGACTGTTCCAAAATATCCCCCCAAAATTGATGGCTAAATTCAAAACTATTTAGATATATAGATCTATATAGGTGGAACGCTTGCTGAGATCTCCCGGGTTTGTCCAAATGGGGGATGAATAGCCATCAAGTGATGGGCAAACCAGACTTGATCACTTTACCCAACCTGTTTATTCTATATAGGTGGAATTCAAATGGGTAATTCCACCTGAATATGATCATTTTACCCAATGAATAGTAATTCCCAAAAATTACTTGTTTTGTCCAATGGATGAATAGTCTATCAAGATCATAAAGCATGGAATTTGGAGGTACCCTATTCTCATTTCTGTTTCTTCCTCGAAGACAAATCCTCTTGCTAGACTAAAAAATACATATATACACATACTAATAAATCAATATATTAATATGATAATGTCAAATAATATATATACATTATATGGAACCACCAAATAACAATTTAGAACAACATGTTCTGTTGTGGGCAAGGTTTTCAGGGTATGCCATTCCAATATACATCGACAAGGTTGGAAAAAATGAAAATCATAAAGTGTGATGATGTTATATAATTTCATTATGTATAAACATCCTGCAAATGCGGGTCCCCCAGTTATAAGTTTGTTTATAAATCATTGTAAAGCCATCTAAGTGTATCTAACTATAGATCATTGTAGACACCACAATTAAACCATTATAAGCCATTATAAACCATTATAAACCACTATAAACCATTATAAACCATTATAAACCATTATAAACCCATAGTTAGTTAGCCTGATAAACAAAGTTACCTATCGATCGGGGGACCACTTTTTTGTTGGTCGTGGATTTTCACCTACCAAGGAACCTTTGAGTAGCCCACCCACCAGCGACCGAAGAAAGGCCGGGTGCTGTGGAGGTTCACGAATCAGACGGGGATGTAGCAATAGGAAAAGGGACAGCAATCGTCAAGAAAGACGGGGATATACCCTCTGGTTATTTAACATAGCAATGGAAAATGGTCATTTATAGTTGATTTACCCATTAAAACCTCCATTTATAAGGGATTTTCCATGGCTATGTTAAATAACCAAATGGTATTATACAGATTTATATCGCCTGTATAGCCAACGATTCACTGGTGATTCAACCAATGATGATCAGTAGCTGCGCTTTTCGTATGTGCGAAACGGGTGAATCCCCACTGGCTTAAAAAAACCTCTCAGACAGAGGATTTATGATCAGGGTGAACCAGATAGTGGGAGGATCCTCCAATAATCAAGCATAGCAATGGAACACGGTGAAGTCCATTCTTGAACAAACAACTTTTAAACTCTGGTTGGTGGTTTGGAACATTTGGATTATTTTTCCATATATTGGGAATTTCATCACCCCAACTGACTAATATTTTTCAGAGGGTTGAAACCACCAACCCTTTTAAAGTGGTCTTTTTTTGGACTATTTCCATTGGGTGGGCCCCAGAAAATTCACGATCTCCACCAGGGATCCCCAGGTAGGACTAACCTCTTTTTGGATACATCGTAAGTTTCGATCCCACATTGATTTGTGTGTATTTGAACATAGTAAACAGCTAGTAAACAACATAGTAAACAACTAGTAAACAACATAGTAAACATATATTCATAAATATATCTAGTAAACAACTAGTGGTAAATAATTAAGCATATTACAACATCTGCATCAATGTGACAATCATGTGACAATCATCTATTTATGAAATGCTGTGGAGATTTTCCAGTGTCCAGCTCAGATTCCGAATGATCAGCCCAGGAAAGGCAACAGTGTGGATCTCAGCCCGCTCGTTTGATCGACACCCTCCAGTCGATGTTTCGAATGGTAACCCCTGGCGGCCTTATTTCCATGGCATCGTTGCTCGGATGTGGAAGCCCAATACCAAGCATATCCTGGAACTCAATGGGATTAGATTTGGGAAAAAACTCTACAGGATTCTTCCAAGCCATTCGAAAGGTCAATTGGTTGTAAAAAAGCATGATATTTACCCATCTACCCACCTTGTACCTCGGCTGTTGGAAGCAACCCTCTTTCCGGACATGTTTTGAGTTCCTCACTTCTTGACTCCACGAGCGCGCCGTGAATTTCAGGTGGGAAGAGGCCAGGGATGCGCGGAAATGTCAAGTTGTCAAGTTGACAAACTGAACAGATAGAATTGAGGAATATTGAGGGTTAAAGTTCACAGAATCTCACATGATATATATACACACATGTTTCTAATAGTTTCGATGTGCGTGTCTGCTGTAAGGAACTTTTGATTTAACTGCGCATCGAGGATTGTCCATTTAGGCGTTAATTTCACAACTCTAAAGCCTTGGCATATAGGCTCTGACATCTCCTTTGTTTCTGCACAACCTAGATTTCCGCACGTGTGCTGCTACAACTCAATGTGTTTTGTCCCATGTGTTTTTGTTGGCTTTCACTTCTCTCCCATGTCCCAGAATCAAAACCGGGACTATAGGCTCATATAAGAGGATGGTAAAACTATCGTTGCACGTATGAGACTTAAACCAGCTATATATATATACTCCTTATTAACATCACATTGATACATCATATAAACATATTCATAGATCAAGGGTTTAAACAAGCCTCATCTAAACTATATACGGCTGACTACCTGGTTTAAAACGGTGTTCAGGACCGGGAACGGCTGAAGCGTGATGCTCGAAGGTGGGGCCGATCCAAAGTGAAGTCGCCACATCAGATGGGCTATGAACGATCCAAAATGGGACGTTTTTGGTTGGTAGGCAATAGTGATTGATAGTGATGGTTTTTATCGTGGTTTTCATAGGCTATAAACCAACAACAATGGGAATATGATGATCTGCTTGGTGGTGACTGGAACCATGGATTTTTATGACTTTCCATATATTGGGAATGTCATCATCCTAACTGACGAACTCATATTTTTCAGAGGGGTTGAAACCACCAACCAGGTATGATATAGTTTAGATAATCCACTACTATTAGATCTAATATGGGGATTAATCAAAACCAGTCATACCTAATATTTTCTGGGGATGGACATCCATGAACAAAACCAAATTTTTGAACAGAGCCGGATACCTGGATTTCGGCCGGCTGAGCTATTGCTTACATCTAAACTATCTAAACCTGTGATGTCAATATTTGTTGTGTTCATCCCTACTATGGAATGATGATCACTACTAGTCAACCTTTACAACCTTTGTTTTAGTTGGGTTTTTCACATGGACAAGAATTATAGACGCACAACTGAATTTGTGGTCTGAGGTTCATAGGAGAATCATTCTGCATCATTCATATCCAGAGTATTCTCCAGAACCTTGGATGTATTTTATCTGTATTTTATCTGTATTTTATCACTCATCTACATCTTTATCTGTATTTTATCAACGATGTATTTTCCAGATAAAGAGTCCGAGCAGTTCGAACATTTGGCGTTGGTATTGTTCTCTAAAGATCCCCTGGATGCATGAACCATACCCTGTGGACAGCTGTTCCTTTATCAAAGTTCAAGCATAAACAAGCGATGAATAGTTTATTGATCAATGTTTGGGAATGTCTGGCAAGTCAGGTAATGATCATTTCAAGAATTTGATCAATGACTTTCCATCTCAAATCTGGTTTCCCTATTTTTTTATGTATTTTAATCACGAAAATCGTGATTTGAGGATTTCTAGTTTGAGTCCAGCGCAAGATTTCTCCCATGTTGCCGGTCCCGTGCTGCAGCTTTGTTTGCCCAAAGAATTGGCGGCAAAAAAACGGTGAATTGATGAGGATCTTGGGTGTTTTTCTTGGGTGGTAAAACCAACCACAAGGGATTCATTCCCAAGTAGCTGCCACTTTTTTTAATGTAGTTGGGGGGTTCAACATCGCAACATCGCAATCTAGCTGTGTGTGTGGAGTTTCTTTCCCTTTTTTTACCATGGTAATTCTCCTTGAATTCTGGAAATAGCAGAAACCATGCGATTGGATTAGTGGGATGTGGGTGGATGTGATGGTTAGTGTCACCAGACTGGGTTAGTTGAGGATGGTTTCTCCCAGCGAACATGGAACACGTGGAACCACCCAAGATCTGTGCGTTTGGAGTTGGACATCCCGACATGTTTGGAAGGGATCCGACCTTACCCGGCATAGTAAGTGCCCCTGGGCTTGTCCCATTGGTCCTGCATTACAGCCATGAGTGATTGGAAGCCAAAAAGCACAGATGGCTAAGAAGGTTATCCTCTGGTAAACGTTTACATAACTATGGACAATCACCATTTTTCATGGGAAAACTTTAAACTCACTATTTCTATGGCCATTTTCTATGTCGCAAACTGTTAGTCATTACCAGAGGGTTTCATCCCCCGTGGGTAACTGGGCCTGGCGCCATGGCCGCCGGTGCGGCTGTGGCGGTGGTGCGGCGGCGACAGCAGGAGCAGCAACGAAAGGACGGCATTGAGACGACCGGGGAGCGAGACGGTGATGAATTTCCATGGGGATTTCCATGGGGATTTCCATGGGGATGTGAATGACTGGTTGGTGGTTTGGAAAATTTTGATTATTTTTCCATATATTGGGAATGTCATCATCCCAACTGACTAATGGGTCAGCTTTGGTGAATGGTCTATAGCCTAATATATATAGTTGGTTGGTGGTTTCAAACATGGCGAATATATTTTCCATGTCATATATGGGAGAATCCTTCCCATTGACTAATATTTTCAAGATGGTTGAAACCACCAACCAGGTGAATGGGATAGAATGGGTATTTTTCCGCATCAACAAAAAGGGGGTTTTATGGGATTGAACAGAGATCTAAGGAGGATGTTCCCTTCGGTACTCAATTTTTTTCTAGCTGGGAAATCCTACTAAACGATATATGGATACCAAGCTAGGTGGGTACTCAATTTTTTTCTAGCTGGGAAATCCCTGAACTAAATGGGTACTGTAGGTGGAGAATTGTCCATTGCCATGTTTGAGCATATTTTGATTACTGGAGTATCTCAAAATTTGGAGCCCTAATCCTATGGTTGTCATCATTTCCCTGCTCGAATTGCCTCGTTTTTTGGTGGGTTAAAACCAACAAAAACCCTACCATTCCGGGATATTTTTTTTATCACTCATCTATGGTACGTAATTTTTCTTGGGGATGGTGCAGATGGCATTGGTTTGATATCACGGTTGGGTAAGCCATAGCCTATTAACCACTATTAACCCATGGTTTTTATTAGGTTTATGGTTTTTAACCATCACTATCAATCACTATGAACCATCACTATGGCACTATGGATATCACATTATTATTCATGGATATCACTATGGATATCACTATGAACCATCACTATGAACCATCACTATGAACCATCACTATGGATATCACGGACATCATTGGGAAGGCCATCCTCACTTTTCAGACTTAAACCTGGTCGAGTCGATGTCTTGGTGATGCAAAAACCTTGGGCCTGAGAGTTGAAGCAAAAACCGGGCCATCATTTGGCGTTTGAAGATGTTTGAATAGCACTTGGCCTGGTAATGACTAACGTTGTTTGCGACATTGAAAATGACCATAGAATACCATAGAAATAGTGGATTTAACCAGCTAGAAAATGGTGGATCTTTCCATGGTTATGTAAACGTTTACCAGAGGGTAGAGAATGCCCAGAGTTTATCACAATTAATGTGGGAAACCCAATGAGGTAAGCATAAAAGTTGGGGATAGTTTTTTTGGCACCCATACAAATGGAGATTTTGAAGATGGTTGACTGTTGGGTTTACCTCGTTATATCAATATCGTTCGAAATTGTGTGACAAGACCTCAGATTCTGTGGGAAACGCTTGAAAACCCTTCATGTCAACAGTCATATATATTATATCAAATGCTGTGGCATCTCTGCCAATTTCAATAGAAATGCAGGACACAACCCGAACATCAATGGGCATTCCAACTTGATTTACCACCCCTCGACTTGATGTCAACTCCTAGACTCCCATAAGCAAAATCAAAATGAATCTCAGACATGGTCGAAGGAAAACATATGCTGGAACCCCCCTCTAATCGATGGTAAAAGATGTAAAAACGATCGTTTCCTCATGTTTCGCAAAGATTTTCCCTCAAACCATTCCCCTAAATGTGCTAACAAACCCATGTAACATAATGTAACAACTCTTGCAAAAGCCAACGTTTCAAGCATCGAGGACAGCTACCAAGCAACACAGTTGCAGCAGCAGCTGGAAAATGTCCCTTGGTGCTTGGGGATGATCACAACAACAAGATGTATACTGGTTGGTAGGTAATAGTGATTGATAGTGATGGTTTTTATCCTGGTTTTCATAGGCTATAAACCAACAACAATGGGAATACATAATTATGATGGTGATCTGCTTGGTGGTGACTGGAACCATGGATTTTTATGACTTTCCATATTAATCGGGAATGGAATGTCATCACCCCAACCGACGAGTTGTCGATGTTTTTTCAGAGGGGTAGGTTGAAACCACCAACCAGGATATATATATATATCCATTGACCACCATTAACCACCATTAACCACCATTGGGGTAGGTATACCACCAACCAGATGTCTACTTAGCATGTCGTCGTATACATGTCGCATGGCCATCGCCGAGTCGTTGGGTCGTTTGTCGAATAGCTGCTGAATCGTCGCCTTGTCGAATCTCCTCCAATTCTCCAAACAAATTTTTAGAGTGATTCTTTCGCACCTTAAAAAAAAAACATTTTCTCATTGTCCGTGACGAAATCTTTGTCGAAAATTGGGATTTTCCTGGAGATTTTCCTGGTGGATGGGACATGATGGGACCGGTTTCCCCGACACACCGAGAAAAAAAATCTGGGCAGCAAACGAGTTGATCACTTGGGCGGCGGTTTTCCCTGGGTTACAAACAAGGTCCACGAACACCGGGCCGGTTCCCCTAGATGTAAACATGCTTTCGCAATGCCCAATTTTTCCGCGTGATTCTGAAACAGCCTCATCCAATGCTGATTGGTGTTTTGTGAACATTTGGATTATTTTTCCATATTTTTCCATATAAAAATTGGGAATGTCATCATCCCAACTGACGAGTTGTCATATTTTTCAGAGGGGTAGGTGGCTCAACCACCAACCAGAATATTATTAGCCATCATTAACCATATAATAACCATTAATATTAACCATTATTAACAGTATATTACCAACCAATGGTAGGTTGGCCACCACCAACCAGCAATGAATAGAACAACTATGGCGTGGGAGCACCAATCGCTTGGATGAACCGCTTGGGGGTGAAATCCACAGCGTGGCATCTAGGCACGATACATACTGTATGTATTCTGTGTATCATAAAATCAATTTTTATTTATTACAGTAATATTTATTATATATATACATTGATATGACATGTATACATGGATCATATACACATAACTTATACAACTTGTGCTATGACCAGTGGATTCTGAGGAAAATTTCCAGCAAAGAAACGCCCCAGATCCTCAGAATGCTCCTCCTCCCGAGGCTCCAATGCTTCTGGTGACCGTGCAGGCGAAACATATGATTGTAATTACAGCAAACAGATGTTTGATTAATGATTGTAGCACTGATTTCAAACAATCATCAACTGATTAATGAACCATATGATTGTAACATATGATTGAAATTATGTTACATGTTCGATTATATAATCTTCTACTCGATCAGGGCTCAAACCTTTGAAATTGTAGATGACTCGCCATTTTTGAAGAAAATAGATTTGATATGATTTGATTTACCATATTTCACCCACCCAGTTGCCGAAATATGTCCTTCTTGTGTCTGTGGTGGGAGAGCCTGGTGGATATCCATTGTGAATTGGGGAGTCTAGAATTCTGGTAACCCCCAAAAACTAGACAAGTGATTTACCACCAATTTTTAGTAGCATCGTAGCAAACTTGATCTTTTTGGGGATTGCTATACCAAATTGTCATTGCCAATGGTTCATCTGAGTGCGTGTGGACGGACCCCGAAGTCTTCAGGTCTTTTTGCACAGATACTGGATACCCTCTGGTTATGTCAAAACAGCTATTGAAAATGGCCATAGAAATAGTGAGTTTTCCATTAAAAATGGTGATTTTCCATAGTTATGTTAGTTTACCAGAGGGTACCTTTGTTTTTTTTTTGCATTGTGGTTTCGTGCGTACCACACTGACAGAGACTATACCTATATTGTCGCCTATTGTTGTAAAGCTCATGTTTTGCCCAAACTGTTAATTACATTCAAATCCCACAAAGAAATTCAAAGGACTGGACGATGAACGAATTATGCTCTATGGACCCAAACAGCTCCTGAAAAGCTACTTCACCGACTCAACCACCCCAAAAAATCCTACCCAAAGTACTTTCCAAGAAGGTACATACATGTCCATATGATATTCATTTTGACTTGTAATTTCCAATCTATTTTCAGGGTATGTAATATGAATAGAATATGTTCACGCCTTCGTTAACTCCCCCGGCAGGTGCGGCATGGCGCGCTCTCCAGCGAGTTGAAGAGCAGCAGCCTGCAGGCGGATCAGAAACTCTATAGAAATCATCATGAGTTGATGACACAAATTGTCATTTATGATAGTATTTCTTTCTTTTTTTAATCCATAATAGCATATTATCTATGACATCATAGTTGATGAAAAAAATAGTTATAGATAATATACTATAATATACTAAATATATATAGTTTATATAGATAGTTATCAGAGTTATATTTATGGTTAAGGGTAAACAGTCATACGTTTCATCAACTACAGAAACTGAATCGACACTCTTGAAACTATATGAATTATCAATAATTTATCAATCATAGTAATGACAAGAAATGTTGATGGAGATTGATGGTTAGGTTAACCATCAAGTTTGATGGGAAATATCAACAGAACATATTTGGGTTGGGAAGATATAGAAATCATCGTTGATGGTGTACGGATCTGTGGCTTGGTGGAGTTTGCAGCTAGAATCCTGGCTTGGCAGTTGCCCACCCAAATTATTGATGCAAAGTTGGTATTTTATCCACTATTCCAATGACAAAAACAAATCTGTTGGTATTTTAACCACTATTCCAGTGACTTTAACCAATTCTTTGTTTCACTTCCCACTTCGGGATGGTTGGTATGTTTTTTGTTTCGGTGGAACAGAAATACTGCAACCGAAATTTTGGATATGGGATCACGGATCCGGATTCGTGCCATTGAAATGTCAGCAGTGATAAGTTGGGGACCATAAACCTATCTACACATATATTTGTGAATCTGTGAAAACATGACTATAGAATTTTTGCCAGGTGAAAACTATATCAGAACGAAGTGCAGAAATATGTTAGTTGGTCGCTGAAAAAAAATATCTTAAATCCCAACAGATATTTGATCTATGATGTTCATATTTGGTCAATTTCCCCATAGATCAACATACTTCCAGATTCCATCCAGTTGACCTACCCAGGTGCAGCTGCATTCGGGCAAGACCTGCCTCCTTTCCACCAAGGTCTGCTGTCTGGTTGGTGGCAAGGGATTTGATCCATATAGGAAAAGACCCTAGATTTGATGGTAAAGTCCATTGGTTTCCGGTAGATCTTCATGTAAACCAATCCATTGATGCTAGATTCTAGATTGTTTGCTGGTTAGCAATTGGGGTGTATCGCTACACAACTAAGAATCCACAAAACACAACCACCAATCGCAAATTCTCTAGCAACATCAAAGTAAGTAGGTTCAACCTGGCATAGGTTCTGAACATAAACTCCCAAATTCATCCAGAATCACAATGTTTCCCATTCAATTACCATATAACATGTACACCCCATCCTCAGACACAGCCACATTAGCAACCAATCGAAGATGTTGCCGTGGAACCTCCAGTGCTGGTTATTTGTCCATGTTGCTGGTTTTTTCAGTTCAATCACACTCTTCAAGATGCTTAAGATCAAGTTAGTCATCACCATCATTTGGGTGATTTTTTTTTCACCAGTTTCACCATCATTTGGGTGAAAAAAATCACCAGTTCATCATTTGGATGAAAAATCCCACCAGTTCCAAAGACTCAACGATTTTTTCCACAGAAAATGACCCACGGCCGATCCCGATCCAGGCCTCTGAGCCTTTGCAGCCCCGCTGGTATCGAAGCTTCCGTACCTTGATGCCTCGATGGAAATCATGGGGGAAATCATCGGAAATCAATACTTTTTTTGTAATGGCAATGGAGAATATGGGGAAATCACATGACATAACTGACATAATCCATTCGTTCATATTGGAAAAACTTTGGGGATCATTAGGGAACACTCATGGGATATACAAGTGTGATTTGACCATCAAGAATGAGGCTTTTAGCAACCAAACATGGGGAATTAACAATCAACATCGGGGATCATTGGGGTAAATCAACTGCATGGATTGTTTGATTCAACATTAATGCTAACCAACTCTTCTTGTGGCAGAGTATCTAGGATTGCCCATGCTTCAAAGTTCCCAGATGGTTGGATAGTTTGGGCATGTTGACCAAAATCTGTTAGGGCATATTGGGATCAAATTTAGTGATGATCAAATATTCTTGTGTTATTTGAATGGCACACCCCATTTTCAGACACACCCAAATATCACATGGTTGATTAAGGTTGATTATACATTCCATGATATTCCCATTAAATCTCCTTGCATGTTTTAGTGCTACACAAGTTTAAGCAATCCTTCAATCTGAGCGACGACTTCACTGAGATTTACTGATTGCGTTGAGAAGCCACCGATCCACAGAGGGCGAATGTCAGGTATTTCAGCAGATTGGAAAACCAACCAACATGGGAAAACAATGGAACAGTTATGACATGGGAAAACAATGGAACAGTTATAACAGTTCATATCCAACCAGAATGTCAGGCATTTGAGGCGTGTGAGGTATTGCGAACAACAGACATGGAACAGTTGGGGCAATTGACCATTGAAATCCCAAAGCCAAGCTGTGAACCCCGGCCAAATTGTGCGCGACAAACCAGAACTTGAAGCAACCACCAGAGAAATGGTGAAACGTCAACTGCCTGAAACCAAGGTCCACTCAGAATGACCCCCCTTCTCAGACTCTGTTTGCAAATTTTGTGTGGTTGGACATTGGAGAAGCCACCATTTGAATTGGCTTTCGGTTGTTTCGGTCTCAATGAAATCTTGACCCAAGATTAATAGCACCCCAAGTTGGTTGAATTGGGACGTCCTCAAATTCTATACCGTAAATGGTGTGTAAACAGGTCATAAACCTCTTAGAACTGGGAATCTGATGTCACCCGGGTAGCCATGTCTGAAATTTCAGGAATATCAACAGTAAGACCTTCTCATGGCTTCAGCGATGGTCAAGGAATAAAGAACATGTTTTATGTTTCCATATTTTTCCATGTATTGGGAACAATCGCCCCAACTGTTACTCACTCATATTTTTCAGAGGGGTAGGTGGCCCCCACCAACCAGGATATATATATATATCCATTAACCACCATTAACCACCATTAACCACCATTAACCACCATTAACCACCATTAACCACCATTAACCACCATTAACCACCATTGGGGTAGGTGGCCCCCACCAACCAGAGAAGTCAAGGTATTCAAAGTTCATGTCATCCACGGATTCACATCCGAGGGAGCGACATTCCATACTTCAACCCCCAAGAATTTAGAAAAGGAAATTCCTGCTAAAATCTACTGAAATAGTTATGATTTACTTTCTTTTCTGGTTGCTGTACTTGTAAACTTATTTGAGTGTGTTTATGATGCCTTGCCCACAGAGGTAAACCTTACAAGTTTTTCTGCATCAGTCCTGGATCTGATATCTCAGATTAGGAGGATGGGATTATTGTACCCAGATTATGTTAGTAATCTGCATAATATATATATAATTATATATAATATATATAGTATATCATTTATATAGAATATATATAATTGTATACATATATATATACACATCATTTTAGATATACACATATGTATATATATACATATACGTCACAAACCGGATTATACCATATTATACCCCTCATGTTCATTGTATATATGTATATCAGATCCTATCATGCTATGCCAAGATAGAGGACGAAGGGGATGGGAATACTCACATTACCCACAACTTTTTTGGGATTTTTCATGGTACCTCTCACGTGCTTTTGGTCTTTGGGGGTTTCACGGTACATGCACAGAACTTGTCATACCCTCTGGTAAATTAACATAACTATGGAAAATCACAATTTTTAATGGGAAAATCCACTATAACTGGCCATTTTCAATAGCTATTTTGACATAACCAGAGGGTAATTTTGGTCATGCTGAGGCGGCGTCAATGGGGCCACTCGGACAAAAAAAAATTGGAGCTTCGTTACATGTTGTCAAATGGCGATTTTTTCTGCCAGTCTATGGCGGCCAATGTGTTGATCTTTTAAAGATCCACACAAAAAATGATGGCACTTTTAAGGCAAAGTCCTAGGTGAAGTTTTGTGATGGACATGATCCTTGAAACCAATTGTTGACATATTGAAGAGTGAGTAGGATCTGATCGGTACAAGGTGGCTTCTACTTCATTTATCATCAATTTTAAAGACAGGAACAAACATCTCAAGGGATGGTGTCCACTATTTTGCATCAATATGATCATACCATACTGTGGATGGAAGAAATCCTGCACCAGTTGAAAACGGTGGTTTATCCCATTATTTCTAGGGTTTTAACCATCCTTTTGGTGGTGCAGGATTTCGCTGGCCCATCCACATTATCATACCATAAATCTTCGTGACTGGTGGTGTCGCATTGTCACACGGAGCAGTAAACTCACCAGTCGCAGCTCTGAAACGAGGCCAGTCCGCTGTTCGCGAGCCCTGATGGAGAAGGTCTTAGGCGCGAGCCGTTGGAGATGGCGGCGAAAATCACCGTTTTCTGAATAGGAAACTTAGGACCTGGGCTTATAACTAATGAGAGTGGATTCTCCATTGAGTGAAATTGAAACTTGGGTTTACATTTAGTCCATCTTTGCTTTTGAATTGAAGCATGGAAGACAACAGTTGCCATTTCAACCGATCTTTGAAACCCCCTGGAGGGGTTTCAGATTGCAGAGGTGTAAACCCAACGACGCAGGCCACAACTTGATCCATGGGAAAATCGTTGAACATCTGGAAGAAATACCATAGTAAGTGTTTTCACAGATTGATCCATTGTTTGTTTTTTTTTCCAACAGATTCTCGCAGAATACCTAAAAATGAAAGATTTCCAGCAGATTTTTCGCAGAATTTTGGTTTCTCAGAGATTTTCTCCCTGATTTCCAGCAGATTTCCATTGCAGTCCGATCAGTTTTTGGTTTCGATGCCACGGACCGTGGACCAGGATTGATTTCGATGCCATAGTCCAGCGCTTTGGCTAGTGGCGACTTTGTGGGACTTTTTCGGAGAGAGGGATGTGTCAAACATCTTCTGCCCCAGAAATGGATGGTTTAGTACTATCTAAACACATATGTACTGTGTACAATTATATGCAATTTTATAGAGGTACAGAAAGATAAATCAATGAATCTCTTGAAAAAAAACACATGCATTCGTCAGAATCATTTGGATGGCTGTCATGTTGCAGGACTGCCTCAGTTGTTGGTGGAAAAATGCTGGAATTTTTGCCTTGCTCGTGATAAGATAAACTTTTTATTGTACTGGGCGAGGTCTTAAGAGTACTTTTTTGAAAACTGGGGAGCACCTACACTGCCGTGCGGCGTCGGAAAGGTATCCCTACACCGGGCAGAAGGAGCTGGTTTTCGATCTGCTGGAACGACGGCTGTTGTGGCTTCCCAAGGTGCTCGTGGGGTTGGTTTGTCCCAAGCTATGGCCATAGGGGTTTTCTAAGCTGGGGGTACCTTCAATTGGATGGCTTATGATGGAAAATCCTTTCAAAATGGATGATAAATTGGGTACCCCGATTTCAGGAAACCTTTTATGCTATATGTCACTTCAATGGTGAAAAATAGGATTTTGTTTGACAACACTTAACCAAACCAGCGCTGATGTTTGTGCATCTCAGATTGACTGTGATTTCTGAAAGCTTGGCAGTTTCGCCAGGTGTTTTGAGCCCACCAAGTCAAGAACCACCCACGGATACAATGTATACAATGTATGGGGGTCAAGATGACTTGGTCTATAACTAATTAGGCTGACTCTTGTCCGATTGTTTATGGTAGATCTATCCATGGGTGATTTAAAGAAATAAACCAATTGAAATAATTCTGTGGTGAACTCCTATGCGCCATCTGCCAATCAAGCCTCGGATAATCATTTGTAGATGAGCCCATCAAAAAGAATGACATATCCCATTCAAAATGTCAAGCCCTTAATTTTCCCGGATGAATCTCATGTGTTCAATGGTAAAACATGGTAAAACCACCATTTTTATCCATTTTTCATTGTTAAAACCATGTGTTTTTGTTTGAGAATCCAGTTGAAACCCAGGTGGTTGGCCGGGGCGTGCTCCACTTTTCAGAGCTCTCACAAGACCTGGGGCCTTTGACGCGTTGTTCAGAGCCGGTGCGGAGCGGTGATCAGTGGGCAGTGGATGGGATTTCTTTGGGTCAGTGGTAATCCATAGATATTTCTATATTCAATAATTGGTTGGTGGTTTGGAACCATTGATTAACTATGGTTTATATGGTAGATATAACTATAATTAATGGGGATTATAATGGTTTATAAACCAACAAACACTGGTTGGTGGTTTGGAACATGGCTTTTATATTTTTCCATATATTGGGAATGTCATCATCCCAATTGACGAACTCCATCATTTTTCAGAGGGGTAGGTCAACCACCAACCAGATAATGGATGTAATCCATGGATATTTTCAGATTTCTATAGACATTCAAAGACAATTTGCATGTTTTTGTTTGTTCGATGGGTATCTATATTGTTGGAGGTGTTTGAGATAGCTGTAGATATGTCTTCTATATTTGAAACCACACAATATGTAAAAAAGATCCAGGATTATGTACTCTCTGGTTATTTAACATAGCCATGGAAAATGGTCCATAGATGATTTTCCCAGCTATAAACCTCCATTTATGGTTGGGATTTTCCAGTTCGCTATGTTAGTCATAACCAGATGGTAGATAATTACCATAAATTCCATTTCACTTACCCCAGGGTTCACTCTAAACCAAGTTCTGACTTCCACCCCAGATATTCAAATACCATGTGGCTTGACCGGCTTGCACCTATGAAGGTTGTGTATACATATATATATATATATCTATTAGATATGTATTATAGGTGTATATTACAGTAGATATATATCCATAATACATATATATATATAATATATATATGTATATATCTATTAGATCCCAGGATAAAAACCCATGATTTTCCCACGAAAGATGTTGCTTAGCCCATTGGATTATTGATCTATATTGATCTATATATTGATCTCATTATCCATAATTCCAGAAAATTCCATGATTCCCATGATCAACAAATCCATGTTTTTTTTGCTATCCCATTCTCCCACTATATCTATCCCATGATTCCATTCCCACGATCAGTCCATGATCCACGGCTGACACGGCCTTCGGCCTGGCGCAGCTGGTAGGTCCTGCGGGAGGTCTACTTGTACACAGCATCCAAGGCCGGATCACTCAATGGCCATGACTCAGGAACCGATTGATTGGAGGTACCTACCATATATAAGGCCTATTTTTCAGCCTAGATTTCAGGGAATATCCCCACAAAATATGGCCAAACATATGGTACTAACGTACCTTCATTTTAGGATCCTGAAATTTCCATTGACCCAAGGATTGGATCCTTGCCCGCTTCGGGCCCGAAGGGATGAGGGTTCCCAGCCACATTTCAGGGAACGCGATATGAGTAAATTTTCTATGCAAAGCCAACACCAAAAATTTTGAGGAAATTACCACTAAGTCACTTGTGTGTATCCAGTATACTTGTTGGATTGGGATTTCGTTTTCGGCAGATTGATCGTTTTTCACGCCACTGTTTGAAATATCTCATTCAACACTCATCCCCCACGAAATGTGTTTGTTATATCCCATATATGACATGCCCCACTGGTTGGTGGTTTGGAACTTTTTTCCCGAATGCGTAGCAAGGGTTCCCGTTTCACTCTGGGGGTCTGGGGGTTGAGGGTGTGTTCGCTCGACGTTGCGTTCGCGAGCGCAACCGTTCGCAACCGTTCGCAACCGTCCGCGCGATCCCCGTATGGCCGTGCCTATGGGAAGTTCTGCAGAGGTGATAATTTTTGGAGGTTTCAGACGTGTCGTTGCTTCGTTTCGCGTGGCAGGCGTGGCACTTCGTGACATTCAGACGTGTTCTGGAACGTGTCGAAAGTCGTTTTGCGTGGCAGGCGCAATACTTTTGCGACGTTTTCAGAAGATGTGTTGCAGTTTTCGTGGCAGGCGCAGCACTTTGGACGTGTCCATCGTCATTTTTCGTGGCAGGCGCAGCACTTTAGACGTGTCATGTTGCGTGTTTTTTGCAAATCGCATTGGCAGGCCTGCGTCAAGTGGCGACAAGGTGCAAATTCCGTGGCAGGCGTGGCATTTTGTGCGATGCGTTGAAAATTGACGGAAGCCTCGCACGAAACATCGATTTTGAGGTTGCCAATTTTCACGTTCTAAGGAAAACTCGTAGGAAAACGTCGATTTTGAAGCTATAAAGTGTGAAAATTGGAGGAAGTCTCGCACGAAATGCTCGTTTTGGCGCTCCCACGTGTCGTGTCTCGCGTCTCTGGTTTTCCGGTGGCCTCGCCGTGTCTATGGTGGAAGCTGCAAAACTTCTCCTTTTGTCATGTTGCCAACTGTGAAAATTGCCGGAAGTCTCGTACGAAATGCTGGTTTTTCTGCATCCACGTGTCTTGTCTCGAGTCGCTGGTTTTCCTGTGGCGTCGCCGTGTCTATGGGGGAAGCTGGAAAACCTATCCTTTTCGAATGTTTCCAAGCAGGTTGTCATGTCGTTTTGCGTGGCAGGCGTGGCACTTTGTGACATTCCAAACTTGTTTGATAATGTGTTGGAATGTGAAAATTAGAGGAAGTCTCGTACGAAATGCTGGTTTTTCTGAATCCACATGTCTCGTCTCGAGTCGCTGGTTTTCCTGTGGCGTCGCCGTGTCTATGGGGGAAGCTGGAAAACCTGTCCTTTTCGAATGTGTCAAGCAGGTTGTCATGTCGTTTTGCGTGGCAGGCGTGGCACTTTGTGACATTCCAAGCTGTTTGATAACGTGTGGAAAACATCAAAATTGGAGGAAGTCTCGCACGAAATGCTTGTTTTTCTGCATCCATGCGTCTCGTCTCGAGTCTCTGGTTTTTCCCGTGGCGTCGTCGTGTCTATGGGGGAAGCGGCAAAATCTCTCCTTTTCGAAAGTTTCCAAGCAGGTTGTCATGTCGTTTTGCGTGGCAGGCGTGGCACTTTGTGACATTCCAAGCTGTTTGATAACGTGTGGAAAATATCAACATGGGAGGAAGTCTCGCACGAAATGCTTGTTTTTCTGCATCCATGCGTCTCGTCTCGAGTCTCTGGTTTATCCTGTGGCGTCGTCGTGTCTATGGGGGAAGCCGCAAAATCTCTCCTTTTCGAAAGTTTCCAAGCAGGTTGTCATGTCGTTTTGCGTGGCAGGCGTGGCACTTTCCTCACTCCACACTCGACACTTTACACTCCTCACTTTACACTCCACACTCCACACTCTACACACCACACTCTACACTTTCCACTCCAGACTCCACACTCTACACTTTACGCTCCACACTCCACACTTTACACTCCACACTTCACACTCCACACTCCACACTTTACACTCCTCACTCCACACTCCACACTTTACACTCCACACTCCACACTTTACACTCCTCACTCCACACTTTACACTCCACGCACACTTCACACTCCACACTTCAGACTCCACGCTTTACACTCCACACTCCACACTTTACACTCCTTTACACTCCACACTTTACACTCCACACTCCACACTCTACACTTTACACTCCACACTTTACACTCCACACTCCACACTTACACTACACTCTACACTATACACTCCACACTTTACACTTTACACTCCACGATTTCCACACACTCCACACTTTACACTCCACACTCCACACTCTACACTTTACACTCCACACTCCACACTCTACACTCCACACTTTACACTCCACACTCCACACTCTACACACCACACTCTACACTCCACTCCACACGCTACACTCTACACTCCACACTCCACACTCTACACTTTACACTCTACACTCTACACACACTCCACACTCACTCCACACTTACACTACACTCCACACTCTACACTCCACACACACACTCTACACTCCACACTCACACTTTACACTCCACACTTTACACTCCTCACTCCACACTCCACACTCACACTACACTTCACACACTCCGCACTTCCACACTCTACACTTTCCACTCCACACTGCAGACTGGTAACAAGGGAAACATGTACAAGACTGTTCAAATAAACTATTGCAGAAAGGTATTGTGCGTCACTGCATAACCATGTGTTTTGACATCTGTACCATTAACATACGTGTGAGCATTCGGGTTCGTGGGCTTCATCTTGTTTTTTTCCACAATATATGGGCATAATCATCCCAACTGACGAACTCATATTTTTCAGAGGGGTAGGTCAACCACCAACCAGATGGAAAATGGATGAACATGGCCCTTAAAAATGGATAATTTACAATCTGTTTATTGAACATATCGAACATGTCCCTGGATGATAACCCGTCAAATATCCCATCAGGGTTTCTTTATCCGATCGCCTTCCTGTTGGTGAACCCAGCAATGATCCTTGGATGACTAGAAATCTTTTGCAATACTCAGCTAGCCATGCTTGATTACCGAAGGGTATCCCCAGTACTAGATTGGGGTGTTCTATAATATATATATATATAAGTAATATATGTATATATATATATGAATAATATATATAAGTTATATATATATAATAATAATATATATATATATATATTGAGTATATATCCTATGAAGTATATCCTTATTATGGCCCCATTAAGTTCCAACTAAATCACCATGTTTGTTGGTTAAATCCGCACAGGATAAACATCACCTCCATTTAGTGTATTTATAGATGATTTCCCAGTATATTCCACTATATCCCATTATACACATTCTTTAACACCACAAATCTCCTCATTTTTATATCAGATATTTCGGATGTCAATGATACTCCCCTGATATTCCCATTGTATTCCCATGATATGCCATGATTTATTTGTCCATCATTTAAACATTTATATATATAATAATGATACTATATTCATAATAGCCATCATACGATGTACAATAGTAGCATATATATATATATGGTGTATCCATATTTGTACATCATAAGGATATTTATACATATAGATCTATGTAAATATATATATATACATACCCTTTGGTAAATTAACATAGACCCTGCCAGATAGGGGTTGGAAGATTAGTTTCCACTAAGAATTGGTGATTTTCAGGGTCTATCTTAATTTACCAGATGGTACTATGTTATATGGACCTTTTTTTTGCCAAGACTCTTTTCTTGCCCAGAAAGCCATGGCAGGAGTTGGTTGGAGTCCTAGGCCTGGAGCTGCGCTTCGAAACCACCACGGTGCCGCCCAAAACGCCGGGTCACGGGGATGGGTCAAATTATTGAAGCCCCAGGGATCACAGATTGAAAAATAAACTATTGAAAATGGCCATTTATAGTTGATTTTCCCATTAGAAATGGTGATTTTCCATAGCTATGTTAGTTTACCAGAGGGTATATATATATATATAGTTATTTAGGCATATATGATAATATATATATATATATATTATACCGTATACATTATAATATATGTATATGAGTATATATATATATATAAATGTTTAGTATTAAGCATCCAATCCAATTGGGATACCTAGTCTTTGACCGACCTTGGCCCCAGGGGTGTGCAAAACCTTCATTGCCGATAGACGACTCCATACCGATACCACTGTTTTGCATGAGTCGCCTCAAAGTCTGAGAACGCAGAATTCCTTTCTACCGATAGGAGACGACCCTAGTTTCTGCATGGCATGAAACCAACAAGTAATTGTGTCCCATATTCATATGTAAATCTAAACTGTGAAAGCTTCCAATCATTCAACTTTCCAATGATAGGGGATATATGATATAACCAACAATATTTTCATTTACCGGGTATAGAATGGGTACAACATATATTAGATATGTATTAGTTGGGGCCCCCAAATGAGCAAGGCCCAAAATACCTGGAATTGATAGGTTATCATAGGAGTTAAACTACTTATTTAGGTTTGGATTTGTTAGCTTGTGTACCTTATGAACTGGGCCCGATAGACTTGCTAGTGTAGTCAGATTGTACAATTGAAAAGGGCACTGCCCAAATTAATAGGTGTAAGCCACAAAAAATGCGTAGGGAAAAACCAGCTAAATGGTGATTCAGGTAAGTATGGTATCGTTGGATGGATTATGATGGATTCATAAATGAACTGAAATAGCTCGCGGGGTCGCCACATTGTACGTAGGTTCATGAGCCTAATTCTTCTATGTGTCCCTTTTGATGGTTGAATGTACCATATCCTGCTAAACGAACCTTTGTTTTTCAAGGCATGTAAGATTGGCAATGCGCTAGAACCCATAGATGCCCTATTGCTGCTCACCCTCCGGCAAACAAGCATGGCAATGAAAGTCCGCAATATTTGATATTATCTAATAGGCAAATCATCTGCACACTTGTCACACAGGATTCCATTGTTTTGAATTATTTGCCTAGCAGTTGGATACTCAAGAGAAAGATTGTTGCAGTCGGCATAGACCAACTTCAAGCGCGCTCGTGATAAAAGAAATGCAGCATGAAAGGACCGGAAAAGCCGGCATGTTAACCTTCCTGTGGTGCAAAAAGGAAGAGAGATTGGACAATGAGGGTTGGGTACAGAATGGGGTGTGTCAGATTTGTCAGATCGCAGAAGACAAGGCACAAATATGACAGGAAAGACATGACACAGAAGTTGGATGGAGAACAAATGGAAGGCACTCAGTTTGATAGAGGAAAGTTTGATGAGAGAAGTTGGATAGACTTGTGTTTGATAGAGATGAAAATGGTAGAGTTAAGCTTATAGCGCTAAATTTGATGATGGCTAGTTTCATAGAGAAAAAATGGATGGATAGAATTCGGATAGAGTTGACAAGTTTGATAGATGGAAGTTTGATAGAGATATATCAGTTTATTAGGGATAAATTCGATATATGGAGGTTTGATAGAGATGAATTTGAAAGATGTATGATAGAAATAATGTCAACGGATATGTCAGTGTCATAGAGATAATTTTAAGATAGTCTAAATTTGTTGGGTAAACAATTCACAGGCATGTTTGATAGAGACAAGTTGTATCAAGGAAAGTTTGATTGAGGTTAAATTGAAAAGATATAATTGATACCAGCAACCTCCAACGTGTGAATCTGTGTCCCACTGCCTGTTCAATATGCAAATTGTTCTTACGTCATGGAAACCTGCCTTTGGATCCCCTTCAAACAAATATTTATTTGCATAGATTATCCATATCAATATCGGTTTCCCACATTCCACAAGATACACTTGAACATGTTTGCAGTTCCCTCATTTTGGTGACTTCAAACTTATATACCCTCACTTTTGCACTTCTGGTGGTTCAACCACCCCTTCAAGAGTGATATTTATTGAGAAGACGTATAATTGTAAAGGATTTGACATGAATACCACAACTACAGAGAAAAACTATTGAATCTGATTGATACACATACTGTACCCAAATATAAGGGTTTTATACTATTATACCCCATCATTGAAGTGTTTATTGTCTTTACCACCAGGCAACCCCATGGTTGCTGGTAACCACCCCGGTTGGGGCCAAGGTGCAGGGCGCGGCGCAGCGCGGGCTCTTGTCTAACGCTCTCAATGAGATGGCGTCCTGAGAGAAATCCTGTGGGTTTTGAAGGTCCCAGAACTTGGCGAAAACTCCAATTCTTTGAGATTTTTCGAGGTTCAAATGTGAGAAAACTATAGAAAACTCAGATGATTTCAGGTGGTTTCAGGATCTCAAACTGAACAACCAGCAAACCCCCCAGGCCCCCGGCGATTTTTTCAGCTGCGCTGGCTGTAAAATCTCCAAAACTACCTAGCTTCCCGTGTCCTGAAAGCACCATGGACGGGAAAAAGTTTTGCGTTGTGCTGTCGTGTTTTTTTGATAGAAGTGAATACACAATAGTTTTAACAACTATATTACAATAGTTTTAACAATAGTTTTAACAACTATACCGCACTAGGATTTGTTTGTTATAGTACCATATTTCCCACCTGTTGGTTGGTCAACTCCCCGGTGAAGTTCTACTAGGATTCCGTCAAAACTTGAGTAGTCATTGCCCATTTTTGGGGGGGCGGTCATCAGTCCATCAACAGGGACTTATATATATATAATATATTAATATATATAATATATAATATATTATAATTATAATATATTATATAATATTATATATAAGATATTAATATTATATATATAATATGTTATATACATATATATATATATACACTTATATATATATACTTATATATATATACGTATATGTATATACTTATATATATAGTTGTATATACTCATTAGCAGGATTTACATTCTGGGATGGATGACACATATTTTCTTGAATAACTTGAATATGTGTTGGTAGTGCATGGGGCGATGTTCCCATTTGACCGATATTATTCAATGAGGTTCCAAACCACCAACCAGATACGTAGAATTCTATGCATACGACCAAGTTGAAACCTTGGGTTGTGCCATGATTTACCTACATTTACCACCCCGAATCACCCGAACATTGGTATATAAATCTTGACGTTCTCAAAGGTTTCGGCGACACCGGGGTTGGTCATAGATGGATTTGTTCTATCCCTAAGAGTTTTATCAATGGGAATTCCAGGATCCTAAAATGGAGGTACTGTACCATATAAGGCCATATTTTGGGGGTATATTCCCTTACATAGGCCTTACATAGGCCTTATATATGGTAGGTACCTCCAATTTAGGTTCCTGAAATGACCATTGATTTTAGTATCCCTCCATCTTCAAACGCTTCTCTACAAATCCCATGTTGTCTGTATCCAAATGGAGTCCTGGATGAGAATCCCCATTTTTTCTTGGTGAAATCCCCATACCGGGTAACTGGATCACCTCCATTGATGATTTTTCCCACTAGATTCATGATACAAAAACTATTTCCCATGATATCCCATGATATTCTAGCCATATAAACTATATATCCGGGATTCTAGGATTATAAATCCCATATATATGGGATATCTATTTATAGTAAACACTATATATATCCCATATAAATAGCCATATAGTAATCCATATTCTTTATATCCGGGATGGGATTTTACTCCCGAGTTATACTCTTGATCCCTGAAGGAGGTTGATGTTTATCAGCATCAGTCGTGTCCCCATTTCTGCCTTTATCACTGGTAGGATTTATCACCATCAACTTATGAGTGATTTATGGTGTGAGAAAAAACTTCCATTAGTGATAAACCTATGAGTGATGATCTATTGATTTGTGAGTGATGATCTATGGCTTGATGAATTTTCAGAATCACTGCTTGATTTGATGGTGTTTTTCAGCAAACTTCCATTAGTTAAACATAGTTGAACCAGGTTAAAGCTATGAATCAAAGCCATCAGTATCACCATCAAAAGCCATCAGGCTGCGTGAACGCGAGCTGGCGGACTTGGAGCGACGGGCCGAGGCGCCCATGAAAAATGGGAATTTCAACGGGAATCACATTGGGAGTTTGGGATTTTGTGGGTGAAACAATGCCATAAACCAGCCATGTGGTTGTTATATCCCATATATGACATGTCCCACTGGTTGGTGGTGACTGGAACTTTTTTTATTTTTCCATATATTGGGAATGTCATCATCCCAATTGACTTTCATATTTTTCAGAGGGGCTGAAGCCACCAACCAGAGCCACGACTGTCATGGAAAATTCATGGTTTAACCATGAACAAGTGCTGGTTTTTTTTCTGGGATTTGATGGGATTTTTCATGACAAAATATGGTGTAACTCTGGGCAAAAAATGCCAAGCGCCAAAGATAGTGTGGTTATTTAGCTATTATACGTCTATAATTGGGGGTATTTTGGACAGATAGTGGGATATATAACCAACAAAGTATTTTTTTTTGGTCTGACTGTAAGGTGGTGAACGGAACTGTGAACGGAGCTATGTTGGTATCCATATTCCATTTTTCTTTTAAAGAAATGAGCGTATATATATATACATATATATATAATATAATTATATATATACCATTATTTATATATATATATTGGTATGATACAACTATTAAGGATGGAACTGGGAATTTTGCTGAGATTCACCAACTCACTTGGGGTACAGCACCAACCATCTTACAAGGGTATGCAGGTGGACGTCTTCCATGAAAATGGTTTGTTCATGATGAAAAAAACATCAAAACATGCATTGGATCAGTGGCAGTGTCGTATTCATTTTTTACAGATGGGTTTGAGAAGAAATTCTAAGCATCGAGAATACGTGAACTGGATTTTACAACCCTTTCGTTTAAATTGATCCAACATGTTTTAATTTTTTCTGATAGAAATCCATGTGTCATAACCATTTGCAGTCCAATGCTGGGTTCACCACCGACCCTAACCGCGTGACATCACCATGTCATCGAAGTCTGGCTCCTGTGATGCCCAGAACTGGAAAATCACCATTCTTAATTAGTTGGTTGGTGGTTTGGAACATTTTTTTCCATATATTGGGAATAATAACTCCAACTGACTAATATTTTTCAGAGGGGTCAAACCACCAACCAGATTAGGTAAACCAACTATAAATGGCCATTTTCAATAGCAAACTGTTAGTTTCCTGGAGGGTAACTTCTGGCTAAGATGGTAAGTTCTTTGGACCAAACAAGTCCACCAGACTCGCCTAAATTGTCCAACGTGCAATGCTGGTGATTAAGATATGCACATTCTTGTTAGATAATTTATTTGCAGGGTACAGATACAGTACTACTTTCCATTCTTTGGATTGAAACAGCCAGCCACCTAGTGGAATGACCTTCATATATGCACGAGATAATGATATACTATATATATATATACACATGCACCTGTATATATCTATATATGCATACCTTACATTTACATATGGTACAACATGATGCATAAATCATATTATGCATATATATATATATATATCAATACATAAACATAAATGTGTACATGTATCTTATCTTGTTTCATCTCAGCAGGAAAACACTTATGTTACCACCTGCTGGTCTATTTCATGAGCTGGGATATGTCATCATACATGTATATGTATCTCCGCTATCGATATATATATATGTATATATATATACATACGTACATACATACTTACATACGTGTATATATATATATATAAATAAATGTACAATAATATCAACAATATCATATGTATATTTATAAATATATAGCAACCCTCAAAAATGATAGAAACATATAATTCTTCACTATTTGAGTAGGATGTTATTTTTCCATCTTTTTGTGGGTGCTCACATTTTCGGCGGCAGGATCGTCGTCGGCAGATCGAGGTGGGGCAGATGGAGATGGAAGGGGGGGCAATGGGGATTCACCACGGATCAATGAGAACATCATGGGATGGGGGTATATCAAATCAATCATTTAATGGCGATATGATGGGATATTAGATGCTATATATATATATATACACCATTGTATACCGATTTATATACATGGGTCAACAAACAACTGGATGGTATTTCTTGTCCAAGGTATCCAAGGTTGGCAATCTTGCACTTCAGCAGAAATTCCACCGAAATTAGGGTTTATGGATGTTTATGGTGAATATATCTATGTACTAAAAATTGTACAGCTGGATGGTTTGCAAATGGTGGAAAACGCCAAATCACAACAGGGGGGCCCCTGAGTTGTACGCCATGCTTCATGAGATGCATTGGTCTGGCAGTATGACGAATGAATTTTGTATGACATGTTCATTTACAGTGATCCAACCAGCTCAAAACAATATGGTTCGAAGTGATCGAAACAGAAACCTCCCAGGACAGTCATGTAATTAAATGAGCAACTGACAGTACTCAGTATTCCATTTACACGTGACAACGATTTCATTGATCGAGACTATCATGACCATTCATGACCATTGTCCAAGAATCCTGATGGCCATGTCCATGTGCACTGCCATCACTAGCTTATGGTCAATTTTAGGGGTGGAAATACCACCGCTTCGGGGGGTCACTGGATGATGTCCAGTGGTATGGGTGGCTATGCGGAGCCAGTGGCGGCTGGCGCCAATGGCTGTGAAGCAATTGAGGTTCTGGTGCAATGCCTCAACGGTGAAGGATGGAAATTCTGAGTGGCTCCTCTCTGGGTCGTTGCGGCAGATGGTTTTGCAGCTACTTCCTGAAAAATCACAACGGTGGCACCGCTGCTGATCCACAACACTCTCGTGCACGTTTCTTCCAAGTGATTTGTATGCAGCATGGTGCTATATCCAAGGATTCCCCGTCTGGGAGGGCGTGCCCTCCAGGGACGAGGATAGAAGGAGCCAATTCCAGCAAGTATTCGCAGCATCTTCCCAGAAGTCTTGAGACCCTTGCATTCGGCCGTCAATTCAACCAGAGTCTAGACGCAGTGAGCTTGCCAAGCAGTCTTGAGAGTTTGACGTTTGGCATCAATTTCAACCACACCCTGAAAGGCGTGAACTTGCAAGATCTTGTCGTTGGGCTCTAAGTTCAACAAGAGCATGGAAGGCGTTCTTTTGCCGAGCAGTCTTCAAAGCTTGAAATTTGGCGATGATTTCAACCAAAGCTTGGAGGGAGTGACTTTCCCAAGTGGCCTTCAGAGCTTGACTTTTGGCTCCAAGATCAACCAGAGGCTAAATGGGGTGAGCTTGCCAAG